AGTCTTCATCACTGACCTCACTGCTACCACTCCATACCCTCTCGCCAGAGTCCACCTGGATTGTCCCTACGTGAACGGGGAAGTCCAAGTCGCCGTCAGGGAAAAGCCTTTTCCCATGCCTGGAGTGCAACTTCTCCTAGGCAACGACTTGGCAGAAGACCTGCAACCGACCAACCTGATCGTCATGGACAAACCCCAGGTGTGTAACTCTGTGCCAATAAATCCTATTCTTGAGTATGTTCCAGCAGAGGTTCAAGAGAGTGATGAAGTTTCTCCTCCGGTTCTCGTGACCACCCGTGCACAAGCCGCACGTCCACAGCCAGCTGACTCTACTGCTACCGCTGTCCCTCAAGACCCTCAGAAACTACCCCCGCATCTGACCAAGTTGGAGTTCCGTAAGTTGCAGAGGGAAGATCTTACTTTAACACCATTGTTTTTCCAGGCTGAGACTCAACCCGACAGTATTCCTGGGTTCTTCCTAGAGAACGACTTGCTCTACCGCAGATATAGACCCAGTAAACTGAAGGAGGAGGACGATTGGGCCAACATCGAACAACTTGTGATTCCCACCAGCCTGCGGCCCACTATTCTACACCTGGCCCACGGAGCATTCTCCCACTACGGCTTCAACAAGACTTACCATGGGATTCGTCAAGACTACTACTGGCCAGGTATGGTAAACAACGTCAAACAGTACGTAAAACAGTGTCATACATGTCAGATGGCAGGCAAACCGAACGTCTCCATTCCCAGAGCACCACTGATTCCCATACAGGTGCCTGCGGAACCTTTCCACAGACTCATAATAGACTGTGTTGGTCCTTTACCTCGGACCAGTTCAGGTAACGCCTACATCCTAACCATCCTGTGTCCTACCACCAGATTTCCCATAGCAGTTCCAGTGAAGAACATCACGGCTGCTACGGTTATCAAACATCTATTGAAGATCTTCACTCAATACGGATTTCCCAGGGAGATTCAAAGTGACTGTGGCACCAACTTCACCAGTGATCTCTTCAAAAGGACACTGGAGGAGTTCAACATCAAACAGGTATTGTCCAGCCCCTATCATCCTGCTTCACAGGGTTCTCTTGAACGTAGTCATCAGACCATCAAAGCACTCTTGAAAAAGTTTTGCAGTGAAACCTCAAAGGATTGGGATAAGCAGATTGACCTAATAATGTGTATTTTCAGAAGTCTCCCCAATGAGTCCCTAGGAGTATCTCCTTATGAGATGCTCTACGGCCGTAAGTGCCGTACTCCCCTTAAGGCTTTCAAAGACTCTCTCAGAGATGCCACCTTCAGTGAGCATCAGAATGTGCCCCAGTTTCTTCAAAACCTTCAACACATTCTAGAGAGAGTCCACCGCTTTGCCCATGATAATCGATTGAAAGCCCAGGTGAGAATGAAGACTCATTACGACCAGACCAGCAAAGTAAGAAAATTCAAGCCGGGAGACTTCGTCCTTGCCTATTTTCCTATCCCAGGTTCACCTTTACAAAACAGATTTTCAGGACCCTACTGCGTCAAAGAGTGCAGGAATAATAATAATTATGTGATAGAGACTCCAGATAGGCGGCGGAAGACCCAGCTGTGCCACGTCAACCTCCTGAAGCAATATAATGGTACTCCTCCCACTGTCTTGACTAACTATTCCACATTCACAGAACCCTACATCCACAGTGAGACCTTCCCAGCTTCTCCTCCCGAAAGCACTGACAAGGAGTCAGCGCTTTCTAATTCCGAAATCCTTAATGATCTTCCCAAATACTTTCAGGATAATCATAGTGCACCTCTCGTCAAGATCTTCAGAGAACATCAAGAGTTGTTCAGAGATGATCCCCAAGAGTGTAATGTTACCCAGCACGACATCCAACTGCTCCCCGACACCCGGCCGATTCGTCAACCCTTCTACCGAATCAGCCCGAGCAAGAAGGAAGTCATGCGTGCTGAGGTGCAGTACCTCTTGGACCATGGACTGGCTACACCTTGTGAGTCCCCCTGGGCCTCACCTTGTATCTTGGTGCCCAAACCCCAAGGTAAGGTGCGGTTGTGCACTGACTATCGTAAACTGAACTCTGTCACTGTCAAGGATGCTTACCCCTTGCCAAGGATAGATGACATCCTTGATGCCATTGGTAGTGCCCAGTACTTGTCCCAAGTGGACTTGCTTAAGGGGTACTATCAAGTGTGTCTAACGGAGCGCGCTAAAGAGATATCTGCCTTCATCACTCCTTTTGGACTTTTCAGATATGAACGCCTTCCTTTCGGACTATGTAATGCCCCGGCCACCTTTCAAAGAGCTGTCAACCGTGTCATCCAGGGCTTGGATAACACATACGCCTACCTGGACGATATCGTCGTAGCCTCCAACTCCTGGAGTGAACATCTGCTCCAGCTGCGACGTCTGTTCTCCAAGCTCCTGACAGCCGGCCTCACCATCAACCTGGGCAAGTCCACTTTCGCGAAAGGTAAAGTGCGTTATCTGGGTCATGTTATTGGGAGTGGCAGCATAGCTCCGTTAGACTCACACACTCAAGCCATCCTACAGTATCCACAGCCTACCACCAGGAAGCAGCTCCTGCGCTTCCTTGGTCTTGCCTCTTACTACCGTAGGTTTGTGAGGAATTTCAGTACAGTCGCCACACCTCTAATTCTATTAACCAGTCCCAAGCAACGGTATAATTGGACCATGCAGCAAACCGTTGCTTTCGAACAACTCAAATTCCTCCTTTGTTCTAACCCCATTCTCGCCTCTCCAGATATCACCAAGCCTTTCGTCCTTCATGTCGACGCCAGTGGTACCGGCGTTGGTGGTGTCCTGATGCAACAACGAGGCGAGGAGGTTCTACCTGTCAGCTACTACAGCTACAAACTGAAACCACACCAGAGGAACTACAGCACTATTGAAAAGGAGCTACTATCCATCGTCCTGAACCTCCAACACTTCGCTCCGTACCTACAAGGCGCCAGGTCTACCACCATCTTCTCAGACCACAACCCTCTCCGCTTCCTACATCAAGCCCAATTCACCAACCAGCGTCTTCTACGATGGGCTCTGTATTTACAAGACTTCAACCTGGAGATCCGCTATATCAAGGGTTCTGACAACACCATAGCCGATGCCCTCTCCAGAGTTTATGAAGTAGAAGCAACTCCATCCATTACTCCACCACATAACGACGTACTTCTTCCAGAACCGCAGGCTTCGGGGGAGAGTTGTGACGATAATCTCCTTCAAGAGATTGAGCCTGCTCTTCCCTCCATAATTACGTCTTCACAATTATATAAAAAGACTATGGAAGAAATGTCCAACAACGACAACAACACCAGCAAGGCTTGCCAGGGTGAGCAAAAACGTATGCAGCCAGCCACCTGGTCGAACTCCAACCACCAAACTACCCGTTGATCGCTACGGCTCCGCTGATTGGTCGCCGGTCTGGCTGCACCTGCCTCGCCCCCCCCCCAATACTACCTGATGTCTGGGGTCGCCCCAACATCAGTCTTCAGAATGTTCAGTGCTTTCGTGGCCATCACACCTCCCAGCTAGACTCTAGCGTGTACTGAGAGAGGTGGTGGCTTTAAGCCAATATTCCAGCACCTCCCACTTAACTTTTGTATTGCACTTGTTATTTTGCCTTAACGTAACTTTTCATTTTGTCATTTAAGTATTCTTATTATTTTGATTCATTGATTTTATTATAAGAATTTGTTTGTGCATTATTTTCATGTTTTGATTTATTTAACGTAATTAAAATTTCATTGTTAAAGTTTACTTGTGTTTTGTGTGTCTTCTCCTTACCTTACCACAGACGAAGTTCCAGTTTTTCTATTTTTTTTTTATAACTATGTGACGAGGCCATACCCCTAGCCTTAAACAGCCGAACACCAACGCGTTACCGTCACAAAAGACTTAATGATAATAAGAGTAGTCTGCTTTAAATAGCCTTGTCGGAAGGCAGTCTCACATCTGGTGCTTGAAATACTTGCTTTAGAATTTCTACATTTTGTTTTAGGGTCTCCTATGTGTGCCTATTGTTGGTTACACATTACAGTATTACACTGTATTACACTGTACTGTACTGTTAACATATATATCTTCATCTTCCATGATGATGTAGTGAATAAACCCAAATAAAAAGCAATAGCTTAGTATGAGGCCTTGCTGTGGGAAGACTAACCAGCTCTAAGTAGCAAAGAAAGTAAGCAAGATAAAAGTTTTGTTTAATGTGTTAGGAGTTCACACTGTCATCACATACTCATGGTAACTGATAAGCCTTTATTTAAGTCCAAACTCTATGAGTTTCTCAGCATATTTATTCATTCATCCATTATCATAACCCCCATTTACCACTTTCATGAAGCGGGGATATATACAAAGAATTAACAAAGTACTGAAATTCTCAATCAGGAGCAAACTACAAAAAATTAAAACAAAAATTTAAAATACATAAACAAGGCAAGAAACCTTTAAGTGTACCAATGAATAGGGGATACTTAAATTAAACAGAAGTAACAAAAACAAGAAACGAATAAATTTTCCAAGCGAGTGACATCTTGACCATAAACTTACAAATACTGTGTGCTTTATGTCCTGCACAGTGTCAGTATGGCACAGTGTAAAAGCAAGAAAGAAAACAAACTCATTTTTGTTCATCTTTTATGTTTCCCTAAATTTTGACTGCTGTAATACTTCCATTATTGTCCATATGTATATAAAGCTTGTCTACTACAATATTTGATCCTACAACACTATTAACCGACGTATGTTTTTCTATAAAGTCCATAAAATGTGAGAGAAATACCACATGTCAAATTTACAAAAATCAAGTTTATAAACAGCCTCTAAAGCAAAATGAACAACTTCAAAATTTTCAAACAAATCACATTTCATGCCAAACGGATCACTGAAAAACAAGTGTTTAAGCCATACGAGAAAGTGTGCTCATGAGGACAAAAAATAACACACAAACACATATCACAGCACAAATGCCACTCACTGTGTAGAACACTGTTGGATACAGGCTCAGGATTGATGTAAGGAGTTCTAGGCCAAATGTTCTCAGCGACACGGGCAACCCTGACTTTTAACGTAAAAATTTTTAAAAGAAAATAAATGTCTGGGAAATAATGAACCTGATTATTTCTCAAGGTCTGATATATTATAGATAAAAATAAAACAGAATTCCTAAACAAAACTCTTGAAAAATAAATAAGATGTTATTAAATAGAAACAATGTATTGAGAACCCATGAAAAGCATTTTTCTGAGCAGTATGCTTGGTTACTTCCTAAATTAAGATCCTATTGGCCTCTGATTAGGATCTGGAGCAATCAAGATAGGTCGACATTCTACACCACACAGTGAAAATATGTTCAACCTGTTCTGCAGAATTATACAAGAGCTAGAATGACATTAGAAAAAACTCAATCCTGCCCAGAATCTAGACATAAGTGCACCACATAAAATTCATTAGTCTTTCGAGATGCAACTTTGTATCAACAGACAGTGTATCGTCTTGTATGACCCCTACTTAACTAATGGCCCACTAGATCACTGCCACCAGGTAGCAATCGAGCACAACATCCTCACATGTTGAGGATCTAGATGTATCTAGATTTATTCAAATCCATCCAAAGCCCGATTTTTGCAACCCATCCTTCAAAAATGATAGAACCTTTAGCCACTATTGGTTAAACATGCAAAAATGGGCGATTGCACAAAATAATACACACACACAAAATCAATGTTGGATCGCACTTAACATACATGAATTGGTCGGATGCATACAAAAGCTGCCCGTATGGTACCTCACAGCAGCCAAGTGGTAAAACTTATCTGGAATAACTTATTTTGACAGACAACTTACCTGGACTACCTTACCCAAATAATTATAAAATGATTTAATTATTATATTATAAATCACGAAGTGGTTAGTCTAGGAAAATGGTGATTGCATATTACATATTTGAATGTATGTAGAGTCAGAAATTAAACTTTCATGGCTGATGTGAAACATGAAACTAAATTAAAATCTTTTAATAAAACTATTTAGTTTTCTCTCTGCTTTACAAGATGTTTATAGGTTTTAAATCTTATTTTCATGCTTTATTATTTAAAATCAATTAAAACTGTATTAATACACTCTTAATTTAAAAGTCATAGTAGTTCAAATATAAACACTAATCACAAAATAAAATTTAAAACAAATAGGTTGCTACTAGAAAGTGCAGGACAAAGATGTTATTAATTCAGATCACAAAACCGATTTAAAAATTGCGAGGGATAAAAAGAAAAAAAATCTGGCACAAACATGTTAGCAAGCATCAATTTGTGAAATTCATTGTCAAAAATACCTAACAGTGGTAAGAAATAAATGTATAGAACATTAAATAAAATATAAACACCGAATATCTTACATTGTAAAAAACTGTCGGAAATGTTGTGAGGACGGATTCCAGAAGTTCCAACCCGAAAGTTCGCGTCATTTCTGTTAGACCAAGAAGCCACAATGGTTGATCTGCATTCACTAACTGCACCAAGTCCTGTGGAATATTTAATTAGTAAGCACAGAAATATTTTTAATATTTATTTATATTCAAATGGGTTGAAAATAACATATCAGGAACAATTCAAAGGGTATTTTCCTACAGCACATACATTAGAATATTGTACCATCCAACTACTGTACTGTACTTCAAGTAGCTAGTAGAGCAACAACCTCACTTCTTGCAGGTTGGTGTATGCTTCCAGACAATCCAAGTGGTTAGGCACTATTCCTTCCCTCCATCATCCTATCCTAGCTCCTATCCATTCCTTGTATCCATTCCATGTGCTATATGGTCATAATGGCCTAGCACTTTTTCATAAATAATTATGTACAGCACTACATACCCTGTGGATTACAGAGGACACACTTCCTGTAAGTATCATTATCTTGGTTATTTGAAATTTATTTATTATTCCCAAAATGAACAAATTTTTGTGGAGCAACATGGCCATAATTTATATGGCAAATGTTTATTTTGCAATAGTCACCAAAATTTGCATACTGTACATATATAACAATTACTTATGAACAGATCTGAATATTAATGTATGTTTATTTTAATTTGGAAATCACCAAGCCATTATGACTCTACAGCACTAGGAAGGGATCAGGATAAGGATTTGATATGGGACGGGGGGGAAGGAATGGTGCCCAACCACTTGGACGGTCGGAGATTGAACACCGACCTGCATGAAGCGAGACCGTCGCTCTACCATCCAGTCCAATTAAGGCAATGTGCAATAAGACATTTTACAAAATGACAATTGACTGTTTCATAACATTTTCTGACCAGCTATCAAAAACGATGTTTTTCAAATGGAGGCAGTGAAGTCCACTTAATACAGAAATGAATTGGGTAGCAGGAATTGTAGCAGAACCAGTACAAATATTAGCATGGCAGCAGCAATCTCAAATCACCATCATCATATGACATTTATATTTCAGAAATGTTTTATTAAGCTTGTACCATACTTTAAATTGTAAAAATAAGCTTATTTATGCGATGTTTTCTCTAAAGTATACAGACCTACTGGGATACATACCTGGCATACATAATATATGAATTCATATTCATATGCACATGAATTTTGAGTTCTTGTGTTTAAGTTTAATTTGACCTCTTGTTACTCAAAAATATTCACTGGCTTTTCTTCTAATACTGTATATCATTATTACATCAGGCAAGGGTAAGAAGAATTTCCATACCATAAACAAGAAGGCAGAGTTATTAACAGAAATGAGGCTGAGGCAATGGAAGCAAGTAGCTGACAGATTGAATAGAATTTGTACTAGTGATGTTTCTGACAAGAAAAAAAGAAAAGGATGCATATCTTGGTTATCTTGAGATGATTTCGGGGCTTTTAGTGTCCCCGCGGCCCGGTCCTCGACCATGCCTCCACCCCCAGGAAGCAGCCCGTGATAGCTGACTAACACCCAGGTACCTAATTTACTGTTAGGTAACAGGGGCATAGGGTGAAAGAAACTCTGCCCCTTGTTTCTCGCCGGTGCCTGGGATCGAAACCAGGACCACAGGATCACAAGTCCCGCGTGCTGTCTGCTCGGCCAACCGGCTCCCCAGTCTTCATATCATATAGTGATATATATGATATCATATATGATATGCATATCATATAGTTTGTGAACAAAATACAAAATTTGGACCAAATATGAGGATTTCAAAGCTTTTTATCAGAAATTCCTGTATCCTCTAACTGGCCAGCTAATTGATATTGTTTGCTAATTAAGCAGCATTGAAACCTGTAACAGTGCACCACTACTGGTGGTGAACAGTTACTGTCTGTAGCTGTTGACTGAGCACTACCCTTATCTTCCATCATACCTGTAGGGATGCAAAAACAAACCTGAAACATTAGATAAGCATCAGCAGCAGCAGGCCTCAGTGTCTTTGGTGAATTAGCACTCAGAACTTTCAGCTCTTCCAAGCTAACATTTTCATCACCTTCATCCTCAGTACCTCTGCAATGATGTAACATTTATCTAAAAAATCCCAATTAAAAAGTAGGCATTTTTATGTTAGTACTACTGTATTGCACATAATAAAAGATATATTACATAAACCTTTGCACATCACTTCTTTAAGTATGTTCTTGAGCAGAGCTTACACCAGGATATCAATGAATGTTTAATATATCATCAGAATTTGTATAAAAGGTTATTTGTTGATGGTAGTAGACTTCTTTACCTTAGTCACCCAGAAGGACTACAGATACAAAAAAACTGCTCTTGTGTCCATGAGTTATTTTATTAAATAAATGAGTTATATAAATAAAAGCCATTAAATTACAATATAACTTACCCATCTTCTTTAACATGCTTAATATCTTCAGCCACTACTCTCTCAAACACAACACTAACAAGTTGTCGGACAGTTGCACTAGCAGTATTTACAACTGTAGCATCCTTTGTGAAGTGCAGGCGAAAACACAGAACAAGAGCCTGGGCAAAATAAAAACAAAAGTTTTTTAATTCTTTAAATGATAAGTAAATCTTTGGATATCTGTATTATTGTCACAACAAGCTAGCTATTCATCTGCCTATAAGCTATTACATATTGTACCTTTTCTCACTAGACAGAATGAATACTCATCCAGAGCCTTTACCTTAGCAAGATTTGGTCCCTGAATGACAGTGCTGGTGGTAAGGAGAAGCGTTACGGTCTGCAGTACCTTTAGTTCCTCAATGCCTGTCTCCATAAGCATCCATAATGTCTCTACCACATGTTCTCCACTGCTCACATCCACCACATCTGCCACTATCAGCCGCTGAATAAGCCCTAAAGACAACTTTTCGGAAGAAAACAATTAATATATACAAAGTGTTTGAGTTACTTCAGATATTTAAATATAATTGAAAATCTACTTTAGTTAAATCAATTTCATTGTTATAAAAGATAAGAATGAAAAGAACACACAAAATATATATATACTATACACAAGATGCTAACCTTGACAATCTTTGGATCCTTGGTCTCTGTTGCTTGAACAAGAGGATAGAGTATCTGGGAAGTGATCTGAGACAAGGATGACTGAGGGTTCATCGAGGCCCCACGCACCTTGATGATTGCTTCTTCACACGACTTTAAAAATTAAGAAAAAGTAAATTTGAATGTGTGTTTAGCATCTCAGAAAAATAAATATCCTTTAAATTTGTTAAGAAACACTTCAAATCTACATACTAAATAATAAATTTAAGTTCATAAGACATAACTTATGTAACAATACTGTATAACAATCTTTCAAGTGGCACTAGCCTGAGCACAGTAAAAATACCCCCATCACCATACACAGGGAAGAGAATAGCCATTTAATTCTTTCACAATAGCACTTTAGATTCTTTTAAATAATTAATTCATGAATCATCTCTCAAAACTTAATCACCCATGCAATACATTTTATCGTGTCTCCTACTAATAGCTTGCATCTTTTATTTATTGACACTTATAATTCTGCCATTTTTATATCTTGCGCTATTCTAGCACCCCCCACCTTCCCTAATGTATACTGTAATCTTCCCAGCATGTTATTCTAGCACCCTACCTTCCCTAATGTATACTGTAATCTTTCCAGCATGTTATTCTGGCACCCTACCTTCCCTAATGTATACTGTAATCTTCCCAGCATGATATTCTAGCACCCTACCTTCCCTAATGTATACTGTAATCTTCCCAGCATGTTATTCTAGCACCCCCACCTTCCTTAATGTATACTGTAATCTTCCCAGCATGTTATTCTAGCACCCTACCTTCCCTAATGTATACTGTAATCTTCCCAGAATGATATTCTAGCACCCTACCTTCCCTAGCACATACTGTAATCCTTCCCAGTATTTTCCTGGTGCACTATATTTATTCTGAGAATATTTGTTGAATACAGAGTTACTGTACTTATTTTGCAGGTTAATCTGTTTCCTAACTTTTTTTGTCATTTAAATAAAACTTTGTAATTTTTAACTGAAAGAAACTATTTGCATCTAGGTCCCCAATCACAGTTGGGAACAAATAGCAAATGACACAGGGGAAGTGTTAAAGTGTTTTGGCATTCCTGGAAATTTAACTAACCCATAACACCTCACCTGCATGACAAGTGTGATAGCCAGCACACAACTGGAACTTAAAAGAAAATCATTTATAATTCTATAAGAAATACCTAACAGCATGAAAATAGAGAATAAAAGCGTTCAACTTGTACAGCAAGCTATAGATGATTACAACTTACATCTTTGATATGTGGATACCTCTTTTTTGTTTCCATGCAAAGTGATTTAAGGTCACTTTGCAGAGCATCAAGCATCTTGGCTGCTTTTCCTTCACTAGATGTGGCTGTCATAATGATGTAAACAACAGAGACTTTATGTCTCAGTTAATCGTGTTTCACAACCACAGTTTATAAAATGTGGTTAGCCGTTCACTTCTGTAAACAAGGATAAGATAAACATTTTAGCATTTTTTTGCACAAGGACATAATATACAATGTGTCAACTGTCAGTGCATGCTAGGAAAACCAAATGTTCGAGTGAATTTAATTATGATAGCATGCCTCCCACCCCATCAGTTAATCTAAGAAAGATTATGTGCTTCAGTTATTAAAAATGAACAGCACATTTTTGTCAACACTGGTTCTATTAAAACATGATTTAATTAAATAGAAGGTAATGACAGGTTGGATAACAAGAACTTTTCACACTAGAGATGCTACACCGATGATGACACTTTTCAAAACGCTTGTGCTCTCTAGAGTGGAGTACTGCTGCACAATGACAGCCCCTTTCAAAGCTGGAGAAATTGCTGAACTGGAGAGCGTGAAGAGATCCTTTACTGCTAGAATCCACTCAGTAAAACATCTAAACTATTGGGACTGACTAAAGAGCCTAAATCTGTACTCCCTTGAGCGCAGGCGGGAGAGATACATAATAATTTACACGTGGAAAATATTAGAGGGGCTGATCCCAAACCTGCACACAGAAATAACATCACATGAGACCAGAAGACATGGCAGGATGTGCAGAATACCCCCGTTGAAAAGCGGCGGTGCAACAGGTACTCTGAGAGAGAACTCCATCAACATCAGAGGCCCGAGACTGTTCAACACGCTTCCGCTACACACAAGGGGCATAACTGGCAATCCCCTCACAGTGTTCAAGAGAGAACTGGATAAGTACCTCCAAAGGATACCTGATCAACCAGGCTGTGACTCATACATCAGGCTGCGAGCAGCCGCGTCCAACAGCCTGGTTGATCAGTCCAGCAACCAGGAGGCCTGGTCGACGACCGGGCCGCGGGAACGCTAAGCCCCGGAAGCACCTCAAGGTAACCTCAAGGTAAGGTAATAGAAACAGGAAATCATAGGTGATGAAAAATAATTCAAAGGAAAAAATAAGAAGAGGACAGGTGATAAAGATAGAAGGGGGAGAGAACAAAATCCTCTACACAGTAAATCAGAACAATAAAGCTCCAAGACAAGCAGGTACAACACCACTGGGACAATACAGTGTGAAAATGTGCAGAATGCAGAATCAATCTCTTGGGCCCCTAGGAACAATGTGACGCATTTAAATGTTTCTATACAAATGCCAGAAGCCTGGCAAATAATTTAACACATTGTGTATATATTGAGGTTGAAAATTTCTCCAAGACTGGGATCAGCAAAGCATTGGGGACAAGAAAAAAATAATGGAAGTGTAATTCCCTCATAGAATACCACCCACCATTCAGAAAGTATAGAATAACAAGATCAAGAGGTATAATATTATACATTAAGGATATTTGACTGCAATTACCAGCAATGAGGGAAATAATATAACATGAAATACTCAGAATCTATATGGTGTGAAACAAGCTTTTCCATATCTAAATAATGTCACTGAATGACACATTTAGTCCTAAGATTAACACTTTGGTACCCACACAACTTATTGGTTCTAGGTTTAATTTCTGAGTAGATAAAGATATTTGGGAATGTTTCCTTACACCTGATGCCTCTGTTCACTAAGCAGTAAATACGTACTAGGGTATTAGCCACTTGCTGTGGGTTGTATCCTGAGGGGTGATAAGCCATTGGCTTGTCAGACCTTGACAAGCTTAACTGGCTTCCTGTCCCCAAAATAGGAAACTGTTAAAATTAAATAGTGAATTTGCATATTGTTACTCTATTGAATTACTATCCATATATTTTCCCTTCATTCATATAGTCAAAAGTTCAGAATTTAGCCAATTACATGTATATATATAATTAAAAGTATGAACTTTTAAGGAATTACCAACATAATATACAGTCAGCAACTGACTTAAAAGATTATACAGTAACAAGTAGCGTACCTACACTACAAAAAATAGGAGCTGCCTCGTATGGGCCAATAGGACTTTTGCAGTTACCTTTGTTCTTATGTTCTTACACTGTGTTTCTTGTAATGAAAAGGATGCAACGGAGGAGTCCGGAATGACGACCTCTGACCCAATACGTACACTCCTGCCCCAGGAGTCAAGGCAGGTGAAGGGTTATAGTTGACGTGTATTATCGGGATTCTGCATCACTAACCTTCAGTCCAAAGTTATTATTATGACGCTCAGTCAGTGTAACATCCTCTTGATGACATCCTTCTCATTTGCATGGGATGTAGAGGCAAACGATATGTATATCTAGTATCAAAACACTCCCAGCTGAGTTGGCAAGCGGTGCAAAAGTCCACTTTGCTGTGTCTGCCTATAAGGGAAACAAAAACTTTGTTTACATCCGGATATAGAGGTTTGGAACCCATAAGGTGTGAAACAGCTGGCGAGCGGAGGCTCCAAATGCGCTCTTGGGAGCACCAGGAGCCTCCGATCCTCCCAGGCCTGTCACTGCTAACTGCTTCATTATATGCAAATTGTTAACTCCTGTCATCATCAGTGTTGTTTTTCTCAAGGGTATTTAATTCAATGTTGTTAAAGATGCCTATGAAATTGTCAGATGAAATTATGCATATAATACCATTTAAATAACCAAACTGACGATGAAAAATGTGAGCTTTATACGATATTCTAAAAGATAAACTTAAAACGTATTAACGTGTAATGAAATATCTTGTCTCAGGAGCCGTCCAATTTCACAACCCGCGGAGGTTTAAAATTAAAATTAAGGGGGAGCGGCTGACCGGCATGGTTAAGAAAGTAATTATCAAAAGAAGGCACCAAGCCTGGAAGACTATGTACCCCGCCAAGGTTATAGTCGTGTCAACTATAGCTTAATATTGGCTCTCCTTATATAGAAATTGATTGTTCAGCATCTTGCGTCGCAAAATTTTCCTACTGAGGTTAAACGGTCCAAATATTGGCTTGGCATACCATTGTTGGCGACAGGAAGCCGCATTTAAGCTGATAATTTACCTAAGGGCCACTAACCCTAGTGCCTTCGACGAGGGGCAAAGGAAGCCGGCGGCTTGTCGAAGGTTCTACCCTTATTGAGGGTAGAACCTCGATAAGGGTGTGTTTGAACCTATATATCGAGGGTGTGTATATATATATATATATATATATATATATATATATATATATATATATATATATATATATATATATATATATATATATAATATATATATTTATATATATAATGTAGTATATATAGATGTCTAGGTCAATCCAAAAAGGTTGTGCCAATTGTGTTGGGAGCCACTTCATAATATAATGAAATTATAAAACTATGGAATCAGTCCCCAATAGTTCATCTCTTACTAATTTTATATAAGTGGGCATGGGGGGCCCGATTCTCCTTTTAATGGGTGCATAGAGGCTAACTCCCCTATAAAGAGGACATGGGAGACAATCCTGCCCTGCCCACAAGTGTGCCCTATATACCCCAGTCACCCTGCAAAGTTTAGTAAGACTAGCCCCAAACATCTGACCTCATACCTTGAACAGACAAACACAGACATCCTCTTCAACTATACAAATATCTGGTGCACCCCCATTTGGACTACTGTAGCAAAGCATGGAGACCTTATTTTCAGAACATATTTACTTTGGAAAAGTTCAACAATGAAAAAGCATCCCAGAACTAATTAACTCTCATACTAGGAACGTTTGAGAGGCCACAGGACCAACAACACTGCAAACTTTTAAAATTTTGAACAAGTAACCTAAATTTACCCAAGGGCCACCCACCTCTTTTTTTTTTTTTTGTTGAGATATATACAAGAGTTGTTACATTCTTGTACAGCCACTAGTATGCGTAGCGTTTCGGGCAGGTCCCTGAAATACGATCCCCGCCGCGAAGAATCGTTGTTACAACCAAGTACCCATTTTACTGTTGAGTTAAACAGAGGCTACAGTTAAGGATTTGCGCCCAGTAAATCCAAGGACAAGAAGCTAGCGGCTTGTCATAGGTCCCCCCATTTTTCCTGATGATTTTATCCAACTAGATTTTGAACTGCAGCAATGTTTTGGCACTCAGGGCTTCAAATAGTAAGCAGGTCCATGAATTTATAACCTTATAGGGTGGAAAAATATCCGCTTTGTCCTAAATTGTGGCTTGTTGAGCTTGAAACCATATTTTTTTTTTTTTTGGAGGGGGCAATTTGTTTATGATTATTATTATTAAGCTATTTGAAGGATTACAAGGTAGTATCTACAGGGAAGTGAGGTCTAGTCCTTAATGCCCTGCCTACTAGCCTTGTACCTGTTGTATTTCATCTACTCTTGACTTTCAAATTCTGTCAAATCAGGCCTTAAAGTTGTGGATGGAGGTGACTTCCACAATTTCCTCTCTTAGAGCATTCCACTTGTTAACTACATATACAGGATACAAGTACTTACTTACATTCCTTTGGCTCATTTGTGCTTCCAGCTTCCACCTGTCTTCTTTTTGTGCTTTCTCTCAGTTTCAAGACAGAGTAGATCAAAAGCTAACTATGACTTCCTATATCTCCAACTCACAGGATGGTTATAATCATACATGGAATCAAGAGAGAACATGAAATGCAAGTCTAATCCATTAGCCTGCACTAGCAAAATCTGGGTAGAGCACAAGAATATCATCCAGAATTCATGTGTGTATGAAGTAGTTACAGAGCTCTAAGTATCTCATTCCATTTGGTCTGAAATTATTGGTACTGTAGCATGGAAATCACATATACTGTATACAGTGCTGGGGAGTGTTCCACAGCTCTTATTCACATAATTTACAATTAGAAAGCTCACCATGGGCGATTCATTATGTGCAGCCATCAGCCATAGGTATTGATATTCCAGCCTGATTCTGGATTATATAATAACAAAGTCCCATGATACAGTAACTAAACAACAACAACACACAGTTCTTTTCATAATAAAGAAAAATGTGTAAAATTCAGGGGAATCAATGAAGTTGACAAGCCTGTTTAAATTAAAAAGAAAGTTAGGACAAGGAGACATCAGTGAAAGCTGAACAAGCAACTTATTTGAAGACGTAAAAATGTTCTTGTTCCCTGTACATTGGTTGGTAAGTGGAATTCATTGAAAGACGAGTTGTTTAAGTCAATTCCATCCACAAACTAAGAAAACAAAATGTGATTAAAATAATGTTGAGAAAGATAATTAGCATGTCTGATATAAACAGTTAGGAGGCTGGTTGTAAAGAGCTAGATTTCACTCCCCCCACAGCCGCCCAATCACTTGGGCTGGACGATAAGAGTGTCTCGATTCATGCAAATCAGTGTTCAATCCCCGACTGTCCAAGTGGTTGGGCACCATTCCTTTCCAGCTTGTCCCATCCCGAATCCTTATCCTGACCCTCTTTCAAGTGCTAAATGTGTAGTTGTAATGGCTTGGAGCTTTCCCCTGATAACTCCCTTCCCTTCTCCCCATAGCTACTGATAGGTAAGCAGCATTAGCATTATTCATGACTGCTCTCATCTTGGAGAAGATACTTTCCACGTCAAGATAACCTTTTAGTGACTACTCTGCAAGTTGGTGGCAACACTCACTCAACCAGCTCAACATACCATAAATCTAGACTGTTTCGTGATACCATAAATCTAGACTGTCTCCTGGGTTTTCATCAATTGATCTTGTACAGAAGACCCACTTTCATCCTCTGCTGTAATGTACTTCCACCAGATGTAAACTGGTGGAGCTTCCACCAGATGTAAACTTGGATAACAAGGATGTTATCCAAGAAACAAGGGGAATGCCAGGAGAAACTCTTTGCAATCATTAATGCCCATCAGTTCCTGGTCACCCACCCACTGAACAGATATTCTTGAACTCCAAGACTGCCCTTAACCTCCTTACAATACACAATGCCACCTCTGAATTTATGTAGTTTTACAAAGAGGGCCTCTCGAAGAACCACACAAGTTTTTGCTGGTGTTCCACCTGACATAGGTAATTGTAGTAAGCACAGCTCATGTCTTGGCTTAAAACCACCCATCTGGCCTTACTTGGTGTGGACTCTGCTGTGCATGTGTGCAAGGTATCCGAACACAACAAGAGGAAACAATAATGCACTTAGTGCTACACTGCCTGCAATTCCTCACCACCTGGAAGTTGACTATAAATTTTCCTCTTATTGACCTGACCCAAAGGCATACCATTAAAATATATTACATAAAAATTATATACAATACAAAGAAATGCTATAATTTGCTCTGATCACTATCAATTACCTTCTTGGGAACCTCCCTACATTTTCCATTTTGGTTTTATGATGTGGGGTAGCTGCAATGGGGTGGTGGTGGTAGCTGTTAAGACACTAAAATAGGGCAGGTAATAAATTCAGGGGAAGACACTGAAACACTACAGTAACAGACTAAAAACCGATTGAAATTTGGTAGATGCATTTCAGTGCTTTAAGGAAAAAGAAAAAGAAACTAGATATCTGCTAAATATCTAAATTTTACACTCTGTATATGAAAAGGCTCTGGAAAGTTATGATTAGTAAGGGGTTTAAAACCAAGAAAATAATGCACAAATGTTTGAAATAAGGCCAATAGTATGCCAAGATTGTTATATTTGTGCATTAGTAATAAAATCTATCTGTCTACTTTTATCTTAACTTTATGAGACAGATTATGCAATAGATAAAATTTCTGGAAACATACTAAAAAATTAAATTGAATTCTTTGGAAAATATGGCAAGAAGATTGATTAAATTAATCTTGTGAATTAGGAACCTTTAAGGCCTTGAGCAGAGTAAGAAGACTATTTACAATTCTATAAAGCTAAACGTCTCAAATTGATACAATGGTTTAACAAAGAATATAAATAGTGCTAAATACATCAACCCAAAATAATGAATTTAAATTGTAATTTTAGATTCAAACTAAAATAGGTACACACAGGATTGGAAACAAGATTTTAAATCTGGAATAAGTCAAGAAATAACACTGCAGAACTTATTATTATTATTCAATACTTTAATTTTTTCAATTAGTGAATAATACTGGTAATAATAATAATAGTAATAAGTTCTTAAGTGGGAGTGGTTGCATATAGAGAGCCACCTTGTATGGACCAATAATCCGTTAATTTTTTTATTAGAAATCTGTAAAATCTATGGCCATCTCACTTGCCTTGAAATCTATTAAAATGGTTTGTTGTTATATTGGGACTTAAGCCGATGGCCATGTCATGGAACTGGTCATTTATTCAGCTTCATGTGTGTATGCTACTAACAGTATGGCATAAATCTTTATTAACCTTTTTCTTTTACACAGGTGGGTACAGGATCACACTACTTTAGACTCCTGGTTAACATGCTTAGAGCTTTCCCTTCCAATAGCTCATGGCAAGCCTTACCCACTTAGCTTTTCCTGGAACACAACCATCTAATTGGTTTATAACCAGGTGCCCAATTACTGCTGGGTAAACAGACAAACAGTTAAGGTTCAGCACATGGTCAATCCTCCCTGGTCATGTCTCTGGCCCAACCAAATTGCTCATGAGGCACATGGCAAGTATTACCACTGTGCCACCAGGGACATCTCTGGATGTAATTTTCATTGACTTCAGTTATTCCCTTTGAATGAATTTCAAGCTTTGTGATGAATCTGTAGTGTTACTAAATTTTAAAAATTCAGTAAATTTTTGCATTATGTCCTCAGCCAATGTTCAGCTATAATACATTGGTTTTACATTTTGTACCATCCACAGTAATTATTAATGTTAATAATTCTTATTTTATTATGAGGAATAATTAAATGTCACAGGTGCTGACAAAACAAAATACTGCATTACATAAAATCTTTTATTTATAGAATAAACCTAGTCAAATAAATCACCCAACACATTTTGAACTTGTGTCATCTACTCAGTAACTTGTCATTACAGTATTCCTTCCCACCAATTTCTCGCATCTTTCACTAGTTGACTCCAATTTTCAGAAGAACCGTTCCAAAATATATGGAGCTGAAATGAGAGAGTACAATATTTTAGGCATCTCAGAAAAATCAAAATTATGTAAAATTTAAATACAAAAAATACATTTTATATTTTTATGCCAACAGATTCCAGTAGGTTTTCACAATAGAGCCGGGAGAAGCTGCCGAGCTCAGGGGAATGGAAACTAAACCACGCAGCACTGGAGGACTAAAAAGATATTTTAGTAAAAAGGTTCCTGATGGAACTGGATATGACTAAGGCTGTTGGGACTCAAGATTTCACCATGGATACTAAAAGAACGGAACGGAAGCCTTGTGCTGGCCACTTATTGTGATACAGTATGTTACTGGAAATTTGCAGTCTTATAATTCTGGCAGTTGTCCTACTTGGTGACAATATACAAAGAGAAACAGACAGGAAGTATTAAACTACAGGCCTGTGTCCCTTACATATCATGCTAGGTGATGAAAAAGATAAGAGGCAAGTAGAACATCTTGAGAAGGCCCTTTACAACATGTTTCAAAGATGACATATCTTGCCTAACAAACTTGATAGTTCTATGAATGTATGTCAATATATAGTTCTATGTCAATATATGTATGAACACATACTGAACAGGGTGAGAATAGCTTGAGCTACCTAATCCCTTTGGGTGTCTTTATACCTTAATAAACTTATTTCAATTTTAAAACCATTTTTTTTCTTTCTTTCTTGCCGGGGATCGGAACCTGGAATTCCCAATTGTGTGTCGAGCACAAACCCAACTATACTACCATTTTGGGAACGAAGTAGACTACCCACTCATACAGTGGCAGTTATACCGTTATTACATAGTGTCCAAGAAGTGCAGTACCCCATTGGATTTTATTAAAACGTACAGTGCCTGGTTGTATCCAACTTACCGACAAAACTATTACAGTACAGTATTAGGTGAAGGTTTGTAACTCTGATGATTACCAAATGTTACTCCTCAAGGAGAGCTTAGCATTTTCCAAAATGAAACAAAACAAGGCTTGCTACCAGTTCATCTAATATCCCCATCTCACAGGATGGTTAGTCTTACCCACAGTAGAATCAGGAGAAAATGTAAAATGCAAGTCTAACCTATTAGCCTAAGTTTGCTAATATTCAGTTTGCTATAGCCTGCACTAGCAAATTCTGGCTAGAGCAAAAGAATGTCTTCCAATATTTGTGAGTATTAATTAAGCAGTTACAGTAGCTCAGAAATTTGGTCTGAAATCAATTATACCATTGCAATCACAGAAATAGTTGGACAATGTACTCTCCAATTTGTGCCAGCAGGATCGAGCCCTAACTCTTGGACCCTGATTTTCTTGCTGTCGATTGTCTAATACCATGACTTCTGACCTATTTCCTTATCATATCTACTTTTAAAAATTATGAAGTTTTGCTGCACCAACCCGCTCCTTTAGTTCATTCTAGCTCTTATTCACATAGTTAACTATTGAAATGCTGGCCATTGGGGGTCATTATACCTGCAGCCACCTGACAAGGGTTTACCTGCAGCCACCTGCCATGGGTTTACCTGCAGCCACCTGCCATAGGTTTACCTGTAGCCACCTGCCATACATTTCCCTGCAGCCAACTGTCATAGGCATCAATATCCCTGCCTAATTCAGGTTATTATACAGTGGGAGGACGGCTGCTCACCTGCTCGAATGATGCCAATGGTGGCGAGGAAAGTGCCGATGTTGGAGTACACCAACAACCTGGCCATCCGCTCCTCCTCCTGGGCCTGCCTCCTCTCCTCGGCAGGGTCCAGACGAGGACCTCCCATACGAAACATTGTCCCTCTCCTTGTCACCAGGCAGGTCACGCCACTAGAGGCAGGCAGGTGGACACCGTGTTGTGGTGTGGTGTCACGTGGTCTGGTGGCGTCGTCTGCTCCCTCGAGACGTCGTTTGTTATGTACCCCATACCCATCCTGTGGACGGTAGTGGAATGGGTTATACAAATACAAATATTTATTCAGGTAAAGTACATTCATACAAGGTGAAATACAAAAGTTGATGGATTTATAGATAGAGCTAGTACATACAATGCCTAAAGCCACTATTACGCAAAGCGTTTCGTTTATTAGGGCATATAATGGGCACTAGGACAACCTCCTCCCAAAAAATCAATGTCTTAAGTATTGTAGGCAAGACTTGTTTGTTTTATCTTTATAACTTTTATGAAATTTGATCTTTGTTTATCTTTAGGATGCCTGGTTATATAGTCGGGGTCGCTTTTTTTGAGTTGAGGCACTATTTTCTTCCCTGATTCCATGTATGATTAACCATCTTGTGAGATGGGAATATTAGATAAACTTATAGTTATTTTGTGATCTACACTGTAATCTTTCATATAGAATAGGGTAGCAGCACATTGATCATATTGATGTGTATACCTAAGCTTAATAAAAAAAAAAGTTAAATTTTTTCGACTCACAATCGAGAATTCCGTGTTCGAATCATGGGCGGAGCGGGCCAGAAATAATAATAATAATATTAATAATAATTTTTATTTACAAGAAGGTACAGTGGGTTTGTGAGATTACATAAGATTGTTATTTTTACATTCTTGCGAAGCCACTAATACGCATAGCGTTTCGGGCAGAAATGTGCCCAAATGGTTTGTCACGTTTCCTATCGCCTAATGCCCCTGTCCATCTAGCAGTAAATGGGTACCCAGGATTTAGTCAGGATTCATATTTGAGAAAAATCCTATTTTAAATGAACAGCATGTTAAAATTTATGAAGACGTATTTGGGGTCGACCACTGGATGGAACAGACTTGGTCTGAGGATGGGTTGAAGTCAGGTACTGGGTTGTGTTGTCTAGTAAATTAACCTGAGGGCCACTAAGACTCTTCATGGCCTCGACGAGGACAGGAAACCGGCGGCTTGTCAAAGGTTCCCCCCCCCCCCCATTTGCACTTATGCTTTTTTCCAGGTGGATTTTAAACTTTAACAGAGTTTTGCTATTTACGACTTTGGTGGGTAGGCGGTTCCATGGGTTTATAGCCCTATGGGTGAAAAAGCATCTCCTGTTCTCAGTCCTACATTGAAGCTTGTTGAACTTGAAACCGTTGCTCCTTGATTGTGAAGAAACATTTTGGAGAAATTGTCCCGATCAACGTCCTCCAAATTACTCGGTATTTTAAAAGTTTCAATGAGAGTCATTGCCCTGTCATACATGGTTTGCAGTGGTGTTAGCTCTGTGGTCCTCAACCGTCCCTGATATGAGAGTTGACTTATCTCTGGAATGATTTTTATTGCCCGCTGTTGCACTTTCTCCAGAGCAACTATGTCCCTGTGCAGACGATGAGTCACTATAACTTCACAGACGCCGTCTTGTCGAATCGGCTCTTATATACAAGCCCAACATGAACCATAGTCTGGCTTTGTAGCTGTTGACTCTTCCCCTTCACAGTACATACTTAAATGCTCCAACCTTCTTAACAAAACGTGATCTTAAGCTTTGTCCCTGCTGCTTATTCCTACCCCCTCTTTCTTGTTCTTACCTTTTCAGTTACTTTCATTTTTACATTCATCCTTTTCGTACCTTATGTTTTACATTCACCTATTCTTACCTTATTCTTATTCATCTTATTTTTACATTCATCCTATTTTCTTACCTCATTCTTGCATTGATCCTATCCTTACCTTATAGCCTTACCTGCTCCTCACCTCTCATCCTACTCTTACCTTATATATTTGCCTGTACCTTCCTCTCTTCCTTTTTGTTCCTAGAAACTGAATCTTAAACAACAACCTCTCTTCCCCCGCTCCTGTGCCAGGTAAGTCCACTACGGGCTCACCATAGCCCGTGCTACTTGGAACTTTTGTTCCCAGTAGCTGAATCAAAAACAACAACAACATCCTCTCTTCTTTCACACGACTTGAGTCACGACGACTTAACGTCGTCGCTTCTCCATCTTCTGAGTTGTAATTTGGTCATCAGCTATGTCCCTCTGTAGATGGTTGGATACTGTGTCAGTATTGGACTTATACGTTGTGAACCCGAAAGCCCTTTGTTTTGATGCTTGGTTGAGAGAGTAACAATAGGAAATCAGATGCATTTTTTTACGTTTTTTAATAACTTGTATGTTGTGTAATTCTTTACTTCGTTATAACGTGGGATTTCCAAATTATAGGACCATTTATTTACATGGGGTGTTTGCAAACTCTGGGAATGTCAAGGGATACTATATTCTTGTCACATTCATGGGTTATAATACATCCCTCCATACTAGGAAGAATTTCAATTCAGGGTTAGTATTGGGGTCTCGAACCCATTGTTGATGTAACAATACACATTCAATTTTATAATTTGCTTAGCTAAATGAATTTTGGGGTTGTCCCTGAGCTCTCATTATGTGCTTTTGCAACTCTTTCCACTACCGCCCACAGGATGGGTATGGAGTGCTTAATAAATGAGCTACACTAACTCTTGATAACTGGTGATGCTGTTCATCTGTACTAAAATCTCTTGTTGTCAAGAAGTATTTCACAAAATTATCGTGCTTTAATTAAACCAAAAACTCCCATCCGTATATGAAAATTCCATCTTATTAATTTATTTATATATACAAGAGTTCTTACATTCTTGTACAGCCATTAGCATGCATAACGTTTCGGGCATGTCCTTAATTCTAATTTTCCCCGGAATACGACCCGCCAAATCGTTTAACAACCAGAGGCCAGATTCACGAAGCAGTTACACAAGCACTTACGAACCTGTACATCTTTTCTCAATTTTTGGTGGCTTTGTTTACAATTATTAAACAGTTAATGAGCTCGGAAGCACCAGGAGGCTGTTTATAGCAATAACAACAGTTGACTGGGAAGTTTTCAACCTTGTAAACTGTTTAAAAATGTAACCAAAGCCGTCAAAAATAGAGGAAAGATGTACACGTTCGTAAGTACTTGCGTAACTGCTTCGTGAATCAGGTACCCATTCACTGCTGGGTGAACAGAGGCTACAGTTAAGATTTGGCGCCCAGTAAATCCTCTCCATACGACCCCAGGCCCATCCCACATCTTGTCCCTGCGATGATCTTGACTTGAGTGGGGGTTAAGAAAGTTGCAGGAACAACACATAAGATGAGAAGCCTTCTCCGGTTAGGAGATAGTGGTCGCCCTTCAGCGAGAGGATGGGCAGTGGTCGACCCTGGGGAGCAGCCACGTCACTATAATAGTCACCCCCCGACAATGCATTCACAATAAAAATATAAACAAAATTGATCAGCATATTTTTGACGGATAAGAGATTGACGAATGTAAGCTTTGCCTTTGTATGGAAGTACAATGTTCGAACAGGTCAGAAGTCTAATGCAGGGTGCTTATATGTGAGAGATTATGATTAATTGATTGGAATCATGTTAAAAAATAGCCTATTGCAAATCATTCATGGCCACAAACATAATTGAATCAGATTAAATTGACTCTTAACATTGATTCAATGTCGAAAATGTTGATTCAACGTTGATAATGTAGGTTCAACGTTGATAATGTAGGTTCAACGTTGCTAATGTAGGTTCAACGTTGATAATGTAGGTTCAACGTTGATAATGTAGGTTCAACGTTGATAATGTACGTTCAACGTTGATAATGTAGGTTCAACGTTGATAATGTAGGTTCAACGTTGATAATGTAGGTTCAACGTTGATAATGTAGATTCAACGTTGATAATGTAGGTTCAACGTTGATAATGTAGATTCAACGTTGATAATGTAGGTTCAACGTTGATTCAACACCGCTTCAACATCGTTAATGTTAATTAAACGTTGAGTCAACGTTACTCATGCATGTTTTGCCCACTGCGAAAGCGGACGAGAGAAAGAATAGGAGGAAGGGAGAATGAGTAGAAGGGAGGAAGAGACAGAGTCAAATATATATATATTTATATTTATATTGCGCACTAGGAGCCTCGAACGCCCAACCTCCAGCATGGAGGATAGTCGCTCTATCAACTGTGTTTCAGGGGTAGCCTAAAAAGGGAAGGATCCCAAGGCAACTGGCTGATACTCAATGGTAGCTCTTTCCCTTCCTTCCCCACTCTTCACCCCCTCTCCCCTTTGGATCCCCTTGTCCCTGTCCCCTGGGGTTCCTTCATCCTTCCCTATTTTCCCTCCTTGCTTCCACCTCAAGAAGCACTGAAACAACTGTATGGGGTCTCTCAGATGCTTTTCTTTACTCTTTTTTCCTTTTGTTTTTTCATTTTCCTTTTCTTTTGCACTGACAACTCCACGGAAATCACACGATATATTTCACACTTGACTTTGGATAGATATTTTCTCTTACCCTTTTCAATAACTCTTGTAGTATATTAGGGAGGGCAGCTGGGGTTGCCCGGGCCTGTCTGTCAAACCCATCCTCCTATTTTGATAGTATTTTTTATAACTATGTGGTCGATCGTACCATTGTGTAGTAATGGGGTCCCATTAAGATATTTTTGTACTATATCTGTCTTGAAACAATGTAGCTAAATGCTAAACTTACATGTTCCTAGGCCGAGTATAGCACATATATGTACTATATTAGGCTTCAGATAGTGTGATGGACTTTATATTGTTTCATCACGCCATATTTGTACTATCAAACACATAGGTACTATAAGTACTTTCATTTTCAAATTCAAATTCAAATGTTTATTCAGGTAAAGTACATACATACAAGAGGTTATACAAAAATTGATAGATTTATAGAGCTAGTACATACAATGCTTAAAGCCACTATTACGTAAAGCGTTTCGGGCAGGAAAAACATTAAAGACTAAAACTTAATACTAATTGAGATTAAATTTAAAATGTGTTGAGAACAAATAAAAATAAAAAAAGGGGGTAACATGGCAGAAAAAAAACAGCACAAATACAATTAGGTCGACAAAACAGCGTTTTATAAGGACGGTCTAATCTGTCTGCCTCCCCCTTTCTCTATCTATCTATATTTCTACCTATCTATATCTCCAGCTATCTCTATCTCTAGCTATCTCTTCGTCCCCCTCTCAGCACCCCCTCAAGAAGTTCTGTAACACATGTAGGGGCCTCGGATGCTTTGGGTTTCATTTCTCTTCTCCTCTTTCATGCATTCTTGGTCCCTTTTCAGTAACAACACGTTAATCACACGTCATACTTCACATGCCATGAAAGACACCATGAAAATGGTCTCGGAATGTTTCCAATTCCTAATATTACATAAAGCATTTAACTTAAACCTATCCCAACCAGCCTATGTCTGTCCCGTACCCCAGATCATTACCCCTGCAAATTTGGACGAGGCTAGCCCAGAGTATCTGGCCTCCAAATTTGGACAGGTAGATAATCAGACACAGAGACAGACATTCTCTTATAGGTATACTGGAGGGAGGGAAGGGGGGGGGGGAGAGGGGTATCTGACGGTGCCCAAGATAGCCTCTCCTCCCACACACCTATGCTATCTCCCCCTTGACCCCTCGTCTCCATTACTTTGCCCCTTCGTCTCTGCCCATGTCCTCCCCCTTTTTCTCTCCTCCTCCTCCTCCCCCCATTCCCCATCCCCCCCCCTTCAACGTCTGTACTGGCTACACTACAACTACACTTCAACTCTCGTACACTCTAGCATGTAAACAACACAAAAACTGTCAAGTTGGTGAGAAAACACAGAAGACCTCCAGGACCGTCATCCAAGGTCAACCTCTTTCAAAACAGAATTCCAAAACGTATATTATATATTGTATTAGTCAATATTTGAGGATTATATACAGCCGGGTTCGTGCTCAACCTACAATCTAGAATTCTGGGTTCAAATCCCAGGCGGGACAGAAATGATTGGGCGCGTTTCCTATCCCCTAATGCTTCTGTTCACCTAGTAGTAAGTAGGTACCCAGGAGTTAGTCAGCTTGTTGTGGGGTGGCATCCTGGGAAGGGTCAGTAGTTCAACCTTCAGGGAATCTCGATATAAGCCTAGCACGTATATATACACTGGCTGTCTGTCCCCGGAAATAATGAATTACTGAATTGTTATTATATTGTTTTAAATTTCTCTAACGATTCTCACATATTAGCTCGTTTATCTGCTACAGTTGTGCCCATGTTCTGTTGACTTGCCTAGTTGTGTTTGCGGGCGTTAAGCTTCGGCTCTTGGCGTATATGTGTTTACTAGTTGTGTTTTTGCGGGGGTTGAGGTTTGCTCTTTCGGCCCGCCTCTCAACTGTCAATCAACTGTTTACTAACTACTTTTTTTTTCCACACACCACACACACACCCCAGGAAGCAGCCCGTGACAGCTGACTAACTCCCAGGTACCTATTTACTGCTAGGTAACAGGGGCACTTAGGGTGAAAGAAACTTTGCCCATTTGTTTCTGCCTCGTGCGGGAATCGAACCCGCGCCACAGAATTACGAATCCTGCGCGCTATCCACCAGGCTACGAGGCTACGAGACAAATGTGTGTTTGTCTATGTGTTGTATGTGAGCATGTGCTTATGTGTATGGATGTGTATGTGTGCTACATTCTGGAGAGCCTCGGACCCTTACCCCTACTTAACCCTGCGGCCCTTCCCTCCATACCTCTACCTCCTCCTCCCCCCTACTCCAGTCCTCCCTCCTCCTCCTCCACTCTTCCCTTCTCTTTCTTACCAACACTCCAGCCTCGCTGCGGGCGGGAGCATAAAGAACATTAGTTCAGGTAAGTCTAGACACCCAGGGTGAGGTAGGTGGAGGGAGAGGTAGCTGGAGGGTGAGGTAGGTGGAGGAAGAAGTAGCTGGATGGAGAGGTAGCTGGATCAACACGAGTAGACAGGATAGGTGGGTAGAGGGAGAGGTATGGAAGGAGATGGATGAAGGGTAGAACCTAAGCCCCCAGGGCTTTCAGGACGACGCGAAAGGTGGGAGGGATAGACGTACGGAAGGAGAGGGGTAGGGAGTGGAGGGGTAGGGGAGGGATGGGGGTAAAGGAAAGGCGTATATACTTCCCGCCCGAACACGCAAGCCGCCAGCCCTCCACAGTCGAGGCCTGACCCCGACCAGGTTCACTACTAACGCTCTTCAAACTACCATCACCATCACCGTCACCATCACCACTACCACTTCTGCAAGCGTCGCCCGCCCGCACCGCCCACCGCACCTGCGGCTACCGCTGCCGCAACTGAAACAACAAAAATAACTGCATAGCGGGTATGGCACTGGCTGTTTTGTCGACTTTAAAACAATTTTATTTACTATACCTTCTGTTTACAAAAAAATGATTTGTACAGTACGAGTTACAGCAGCTTGGAGAAGGTAGCATGATACCACGATGCGTATGGTAGCGTCGAGGACCTAGCTTCCTGGGGCCAGATTCACGAAGCAGTTAAGCAAGTACTTACGAACGTGTACATCTTTCCTGAATCTTTGACGGCTTTGGTTACATTTATTAAATAGTTTACGAACATGAAAACTTCCTAATCAACTGTTGTTATTGTTATAAACAGCCTCCTGGTGCTTTGGAGCTCATTAACTGTTTAATATTTGTAAACAAAGCCGTCAAAGATTGAGAAAAGATGGAATGGTTCGTAAGTGCTTGCGTAACTGCTTCGTGAATCTGGCCCCTGGCTCCCATATTACAGCCTTGTCCACCTCCTGAGGGAGCCGTACAACTCATTACTCTCTCAGTGCAGTGCGTCCAGTTATCATTATAATGAGTTGGTTATCATTGACTTGCGGTTATCGGTATTCACATTAGCTCAGTTTATTAAGCGTTGTGAAGCGAGGAGGAAGTGTGGTTAAGTGTTTAAGAAATATTAGCCATTGTAAAGATTACAGATGCTTCTCATGTCGTCAAGTGTGAAATGTGTCGTGTGCTTTCCATGGAGTTATTAGTGATCGTCAAAAAGAAAAAACCCGAGAGACCCATGCATGCAGTTAGTTGTTCAGTGTTCTCGATTCCCGGCCGAAGCAGAAACAAATGGGCAGTTTCTTTCATCTGATGCCACTGTTCACCTAAGAGTAAACAGGTACCTGGGAGTTAGCTGCTACAGGCTGCATCCCTGGGCTGCAGCCAAGGAGGTCTTCCTTGTGTGTGTGTGTGTGTGTGTGTATTAAAGAGAAATACAGCATATGTAGCACATATGATGGAGGAAAAGACGTCGGGAGTCAGTACATTAGACAACCGACGGTTAGAAAGGTGGGGTCCAAGAGCTAACAGCTCAGTCTAACATGCACAAATATTAAATCAAGCGTTAAATACACACACACACATTCCCAGAATGCAGCCTGAAGCAGCTGTCTAATTCCATGTGCCTATTCACTGCCAGGTGAACAGGGGCACATGGAATGGCACTGCCCATTTATTTCTGTCTTCCGGGAATTGAACCCAGGTCTATGGACTGCGAATCCGGAGCGCTGTCTACTTGGCCGCGAGGCCCCCTCCCCCAACCAGCCTTCCTCTTTCGTAAAGAAAAATAAAACCATTTGTGCGACCTTGGTGGAGAGACCGCCAAGATCACACGATATCTTTGTCAGACGACGGCAGGCAGAGGGTTCTCTCTGGTGTCATCATTATCACTCACGCCGCGATCATTGCTCCACTATCACCACTCATCTCCATCATCAGCATCACCTCTCATCTGAGGCTTCAGCATCACCTCTCATCTGAGGTTTCACCATCATTCCAGCATTACCAATTATCTACAACTTCAGAATTAATATTCATCTCTAGCTTCATTCACCGCAACTGCACCATCTCTTATAACCAGCAATACCGTATCACTTGTGTCAACAACAACAAGTGATGAAGCATCATCAGATATCATCAATAGATATGTAGTGATGAAGCATCACTACATATCTTTAGCATTATCCTCACACATCACCGCAATAATCATCACAATATATCCCTAGCTGCATGCATTACTCCTCTTCATCACGGGCATCACCACTCCTCTTCATCACGGGCATCACTACTGATCTTCAGCACTCAGAACACTAGTCCCATCCTGTCACCTTGGATGATCTGCGGTGCTTCCCTGACCTTCACCCACGCCGGCTGGTCCCTTGGCCTTCTTTATAAACTAGACGTTAACCTTCCATTTCACGCACCGCTCCTGTGCCAGGTAAGTTCACTACAGGCTCACCATAGCCCGTGCTACTTGCCCCGCTCCTGTGCCAGGTAAGTTACGGGCTCACCATAGCCCTTGTTACTTGGAACTTGTTCCACGTAGCTGAATCTATAACAACAACAACCCTCCATTTTAATACTGTTGTTTGTATTCTCATTTTCTTGGCTTCCAATGCTACATTGAACTCAACCCCCTGAGACAAAATTCAGCTTGTCTTGACCCAAGCTGGACCGATCACACCTTACCTAACTAAACCTAAAGTAACCTTACTTATTCATGGCCTATTGTATTCTCACTTTGCCTAACATGACTTCGTCTAACATATAATAACCATGTTCTAACCTATCAGATTAGAATGGCTACAACAGATAAAGAAAAGGGGTCTTCTAAATAGGAATGAATCGGATGGTAGAGCGACGGTCTCGCTTCATGCAAGTCAGCGTTCAATTCCCGGCCGTCCAAGTGGTTGGGCACTATATTCCTTACCCCCCGTCCCATCCCAAATCTTTATCCTGACCCCCCTTCCAAGTGCTATATAGTCATGATGGCTTGGCGCTTTCCCCCTGATAACTACCTACCTCTCATCTCCTGTATCATCACCACTCATCTTCAGTCACCATCATCATATCTCACATCCACAGACGGCAAGTAATAAGACAATATAATTCAGGGTAGTTAATTTAGTTCATATATTGTACACCTTTTACCTATCTTATGAACGGTAGTGGAAAAGGTTACAGAGGCACAAAATGGCTCAGGAACTGAATCCCAAAAGTCAAGTAGCTTAGCAACTTACATAGTTTAATGCATATATCAATGTCATTCTTTTATTATCTCTCTCATCGTTTTAACATACGAGAAATAGCGTAAAAATCTACAAGCACGATATAGAGGGCGTACACGTAATCCAAAAATACAGAGACACGAATATGAACACAACGAGACCAAGCTGGGAGTGGATGGCTGGGGCCCGGGGAGAATTGCTAGGCTACCTCGCCCCGCCACCCATGTAAGGGCTAGCCCCTCCGCCTCTAATGGCCATGATATAAACTGCCCGGATGCCATCACACACACAACCCTTGTTACCGACCTCTCTGGCGCGGCACAAGGTCAATCTTAACGTCCAGGATGCAACGTTCTGTTTAAGTAATTTAATCCTTAATACTTTATATGTAAATTATAACTGTTTTTCATCAGACACGCCATGCAGGGTTAAGAGGCGGGGCCCAAGAGTTGGAGCTCGATTTCTTTAATCACTTAATTGTGATTAAAGTGAATTAATTGTTCAATTAAGTGAACAAGAGAGAGAGAGAGAGAGAGAGAGAGAGAGAGAGAGAGAGAGAGAGAGAGAGAGAGAGAAAGAGAGAGAGAGAGTCAGTTGACCACAGGACCGCCAGATAGGCCACAAAGAGCTAATTAAAACAGGTATACAAAAAAGGAACAAGAGGAAGGTGTAACGTTGTATCTCTCCTAGAGTCCTTGTTAGTGGTCATTAGTCTGTGTCCTCACACCTCCGTATGATCTGTACTCACCTCTAACCTCGGAGACAGTACTCACTCTAAACTTCGGGAACAGTACTCACTACTACTCATGGGATCACTACTCATCGTAACATGAAGAACAGTACTCACCCATAACTTCGGGAACAGTGTTCACCACTACCCTTTGGGATCAATGCTCAACCCTAACCTTGTATCTGGAAATTATGATGTCTGACGACCTGACATTTCTTTGTTACCGAGCAAATATGGCGGCGGCCAGGAAAATGATAGGATGGATTATGAGAACGTTCAAATCCAGAGATCCCATAGCAATACTAATACTATTTATATTACTGGAGTTGTCTCGTCTTGAGTACTGCTCAGTACTGGCTTCCCCTTTCAGAGCAGTAGAGACTGCTGAATTAGAGGAAATGCAGAGAAGCTATACGACACGCATAGCCACGATAAAACACCTAAGTTATTGGGGCCGTTTCAAAGCTCTCAAAATGTAGTCTCTGGAAAAGAGAAGAGGGGGATATAAAATAATATAAACTCGGAAGATACTGGAATGCCAGGTTCCTAATTTGCACAGAATAACAACATACATGAGCGGAAGATACGGAAGGAAATGCAAAATAGAACCAGTGAAGAGTTGAGGTGCCATAGGCACAATCAAAGAGCACTGTCTAAACACCAGAAGTCTATGGTTATTCAATACTCTCCCAGCAAGCATTAGAAACATTGCCGGAACAAAGGTGGATGTCTCCAAGAAGCATTTAGATAAGTTCCTGCAAGAAGTGCCGGACCAACCGGACTGTAGCTGATATGTGGGCATGCTGGCCGCGTCAACCAGCAGCCTGTTGGACCAAGTTATCACAATTCAAGTCTGGGCCCAGGCCGGGCTCGGGGAGTAGAAGAACTCTCAGAACCCCCTCCAGGTATGCTCCTGAAATACTCACCCATGCTCTCGGGAACATTACACACCGCTAAGTTCAGGAACAGTACTCGCCCTAACATAGGGAATTAAGTATTAGAAAATGCACATACTACCGGTAGAGACTTTAATTTCCACGCCATACTGGACATTATCCATGTACGCCATGTAGTGATCGCTTCCCCTCATTAGTGAGTTTTATTGACCAATAAAAACACGCTAGAATTTTTTGTATGTGTTTGAAAGAAAGGATAGTTCGAATGGTTGTAACTGCTGACCCTCAGAACGACTAAATTTATGGCATAGTCGCTAAATGGTCTGTATAAGCCTTGAGAATACAACAATAGTGAACCCAGAAGACGTCCTTAAACACAAGGAGCCAGCCAATAAATACCAAGGCTGGAAACCAGAAATCTTCGGACATTGTTTTACCTGAGGTTGAGCGAAAGTTATCTAGATATGGCAGACACTAATCTCACGTCTAGTATCTTTATGTTGCCCCTTAAACACCAAAGAAAAAAATAAGATTCTTTTTCCAATTCAGCCCCGGGCCATGTATGGTGTCGACACACCTCACCCTTGGTACTCTTCACCCTCGACTGGACTAGAGGTTAGGCTTCCTCTTCACCCCCAACTGGACTAGAGGTTAGGCTTCCTCTTCACCCCCAACTGGACTAGAGGTTAGGCTTCCTCTTCACCCTCGACTGGACTAGAGGTTAGGCTTCCTCTTCACCCCCGACTGGACTAGAGGTTAGGCTTCCTCTTCCCCCCAACTGGACTAGAGGTTAGGCTTCCTCTTCACCCCCAACTGGACTAGAGGTTAGGCTTCCTCTTCACCCTCGACTGGACTAGAGGTTAGGCTTCCTCTTCACCCCCGACTGGACTAGAGGTTAGGCTTCCTCTTCACCCCCGACTGGACTAGAGGTTAGGCTTCCTCTTCACCCCCAACTGGACTAGAGGTTAGGCTTCCTCTTCACCCCCAACTGGACTAGAGGTTAGGCTTCCTCTTCACCCCCAACTGGACTAGAGGTTAGGCTTCCACCTCCGCCCGCTCTCTGAGCCTTAATGACCTGCCTGGGCCCCTGTTAGAACACTAGAATCCTAGTTTATCTCAAATAATGGACCATAAATTTGGAGGGAAAGTCACCAACTGGAAGTCGTTCCATAAAATAAAGGAACCATCGTGGTTTTACTTTCCTGTTCATTATAAGGAGCGTCGGCTGTCAATAACAGCAGCGGTGTGCTGCTATTGACTTCATAAATAAAGGCATGTCAGAATTAACCTTATATATCGCTTCGTTACGAACTACTAGTGTCCACTCTCCCTATTTTGTTTAACTTTTCATTACCTGTGTATGAATGCAGCAGCAGAGCAAGACCTCGCCCCGACCTCCGCTCTCCAACGCCCGCCCCAGCGCCTGGGGACTCGGCATTAGCCCTCCTGTAATATGCAAGACAGCATCGCCAGACCCTTACCTTACCTTACCTTCGCCGGACGGAGCACCCGACCACTTGCTCACAGAGGAACAATGACTCGACCTTCTCCTTGGCTTGCCGCTAGTTGTTTCTATATTTGTATACCAGAAGTGCTTCCCGGAGTGTGTCGGGAAGTCATTTATGGAACCACCCTTAAACATGCCACCACTGCTTCCAAGAGATTAGCATTTCTCTCTCTCTCAAGTTCAAGTATGTTTATTGAGACAAGAAAGAAATACATCTCAAAGGGATAGAGTAGCTTAGGCTATTTTTACCCCCCTTCTCTCTCTCTCTCTCTCTGGTCCTCTTGGGTATCTAATAAGGTAAAGAGATGAGTGGTATCCCTATGGTAGAGATTCAAGGTATGACTGACGGCATATTTGTCTTGTTACATCCCCATGATAATGTTTATGAAGTTATTATGAATATTTGGTTTGTTTCAACTGCACGTTTTTGAGCTTACAATTTGTCTACAAAATTCACGCAAATGGACAAATAATTAACAATGGGAAATCTTAAGTTTGTACTCGGTTAATTTATTTCTAAGTATCGCAGGTCATTTTTGTTTTATATGGGAAATGATCGTTTAATTACTTAATGTGTGTCCATAACCTGGGCTGGTTGGTTAGCGATGGCCTCGCTTCTTGCAGGTCGGCATTCGATCCCTAATGATCCAAGTCATCTTTCATTATCTATCCAATCCTCTCAATCCTTCCATGTTCCATATAGTCATGCTGGCTTATGGCTATCTCCACATAATTACCATACCTTAATATATATATGTTTGTTGACCATTGACTGAAATAACATTCTCTTGCGCGCTAAATAAAGATAATAAAAGTGTCTGAGCGAGGCATCCAGCGGGACCTGGCTACCATTAGCGCCAAAATGCTAAACTGACCCAAGGAGGCACCGGTCCGGGCTTTCTGCCTCCAGGTAGAAGGCCCGACCGGCCCTCGGGATCCCAAGGGGTTGTGTAATATATATTATGTGATGCGAATTGTTGTTGCCGTATAATTTTCTATACTGGAATGTGCGCTCGGTATTTGTGTCGCGTTGATGTCTCCAGGTGTTAGTTTTCCTATTGTTCTCCTTTATATAGGACTGTTGTCCTGCATATAATGCGTGTAGACGGCCACCAAGCAACACTAACTGCTTGTATATGATATTTAATGATATCTATCCCTCCACCCTCCACATGGTGCTGCTGCACGCTCCACACGTGGTGCAACAGCTGCACGCTCCACATGTGGTGGAGCAGCTGCACGCTCCACATGTGGTGGAGCAGCTGCACGCTCCACATGTGGTGGAGCAGCTGCACGCTCCGCATGTGGTGGAGCAGCTGCACGCTCCACATGTGGTGGAGCAGCTGCACGCTCCACATGTGGTGGAGCAGCTGCACGCTCCACATGTGGTGGAGCAGCTGCACGCTCCACATGTGGTGGAGCAGCTGCACGCTCCACATGTGGTGGAGCAGCTGCACGCTCCACATGTGGTGGAGCAGCTGCACGCTCCACATGTGGTGGAGCAGCTGCACGCTCCACATGTGGTGGAGCAGCTGCACGCTCCACATGTGGTGGAGCAGCTGCACGCTCCACATGTGGTGGAGCAGCTGCACGCTCCACATGTGGTGGAGCAGCTGCACACTCCACACGTCGTGCAGCAGCAGCAGCACGCTCCACACGTGGTGCAGCAGCTGCACGCTCCACACCTCATGCAGCAGCCCATCCCTACACAGTAAAGAAGATAAACAAAGACAGGTGTCACCATCAATAATACCCCTACACCGCCTCCCGACATTCTTTTCACTATAGTTCATACATCACAGAAACTTCTGAAAGCTTTCGTTCAGACGTGTCGGTGTATGTAGCCCCTGATTCAGTGACTTTCGTTCGCTGGTAGAAGGAGCTAGACATTCCACCATCAGGATTTAACAAATAGAACAGCAAAACAAAGTTGAACTTATGAAAAGGGAAAGGTGAAAAAAGTGGAAGGTTAAAATGGATAGGCGGAGAGACTGTGTACTTGTGTAAGTCTAGGATAGTAGAGAATGAAGGGCGGTTGTTAAGGATAGGCTATGGCTAGGTGGACTCTCTCTCTCTCCCTCTCTCTCTCTCTCTCTCTCTCTCTCTCTCTCTCTCTCTCTCTCTCTCTCTCTCTCTCTCTCTCTCTCTCTCTCTCTCTCTCTCTCTCTCGCTCATGTGTGCTGGTGTTTATTCATGTGTGCAAGTATGTGTCCGTATGTATAGGTATGTGTCCACCTGTATAGGTGTGTCCTTGTGTGCAGGTGTTTGTCTATTTGTGTGGGTGTGTGTTCATGTGTGAATCCATTAGAGCAGGTATGTATACATGTGTACGTTCAAGTGCACTTTCGTGTGGAGGTGTTTGTTCATGTGTGTATTCTTGAGTGTGGGTGAGTATCCAGGTGTGGGTTCGTGTATGTATCCATTAGCGCAGGTGTGTGTGTCCATGAGTGCAGGTGTGTCAGACGCTGGAGCTTATGTCAATCAGGAAGAACCTGTTTGGTCATCTCTCCGCACAACTCCAAGTGAGGTTGCTTCGTTAGTCCTTATTCTCATTCCCTCCTTACTGTTCTCCTTCAACCTCTTCCTCTCCCACTCCCATCATCCTGTCTTCCCTGCATCTGCTCCTTCATTCTTGCCTTCCCTAGTATCATCAACCTGCCTCCCCACCTTCTCTAGTAACAGTAACAGTTAACTCCAGTTAGTAACAGTTAATTGACAGTTAAGAGGCGGGCCGAAAGAGCAGAGCTCAACCTCCGCAAGCACAACTAGGTGAATACCATCTGATTTTCAACCATCCGTAATCAACAGTTAGATGATAAAAGGTTACAAAAGTTAACTAGTTCTTGACGGAGAACACAAGCCAAACACAAAGCAAGTAGCAGTGAAGATATCTCATGAAGCCTAATATACAGGAAATTCACTCATGTACTAACGAAAATATGACATGAAGCCTAATGTACAGAAATTCACTCATATACTAACGAAAATATGACATGAAGCCTAATGTACAGAAATTCACTTATATACTAACGAAAATATCACATGAAGCCTAACGTACGGATATTTACCATGGTAATTGTCTAATTAATTTATATTATCAATATAACTACAAACAGATAGTCACGAATGTAAGCCCTACTTCCATACATGTATCATAATTCTTCACAGTATATCCAAAAAATAGCAAATCCTAAAAAATCAATTAAAAATTAATTCCACAATAGCTTTGCACCTTTCAGAGACGAAAGATGGGAGCTGCTGACCTTGTCCCAGAGCTGCTGCTGCTGCTTCTGCTGCTGTGTACGGTATGACACCTCTACCGTTGTTGTTGTTGTTATAGATTCAGCTACTCGGAACAAGTTCCAAGTAGCACGGGCTATGGTGAGCCCGTAACTTACCTGGCACAGGAGCGGTGCTGTGTTTGCACCTCTATCGCATTGTACACCCTAATATTACACTATGACACACATATGCGCGCATGCGCGCCGAAAAAACTAAAATGTACGATATCTCTAGGGGGAAAGGGTTGTAGATGGTTGGAACAATTTACTTGGAATGAAGATTATTGGGAAGATGGAACACCGCGATTGTAACTCATCCTATAACTACCTATACACTAAGGCGATTATACCTCAACACCCCCATACACTCATTATGCACACACGAGCGTAACTCTCATTTTCTAACACATACACGAGCGTAACTCTCATTTTCTAACACACACACACACACCTCCATCTATAAAGCTCATCTAACATTAAAAATGTGATGTAAACATGTTTCTTCCTATAAATAGTAATGCATATTTGTTCCTTCCAGAATGAGCCTTGAGGCTAAGCTGGCTTCGGTATAAACGGTGGTTGATGGGGAGGGGGGGGGGGATTGGACAGGATGAAGGGGTTGAATAGGTGATAGTGGGGTTGTGGCAAAAGCCCCTGGGATGTGGGTGACGGTTAGGGTAGTTGAATTAATTTAATATTAAGCCCGTCCTCCTAAGGTTCCCCAACGTCAACAAACTGTCGTACTAAAGTGCCCCTTATCCTAACCTACCAGAGGACCCAAAACAGTAAACGGGATAGTGTGTCAATTTCGCTACCATTTTCTAGTATGACAATTTTTGGCCTTAGGTAGTGTTAGGAGGACGGGTTGCTATATTATGGCCGCTCAACCTCCAGAGAGCACATCAACCTTTTGTATTCCACAGGTCAGAGCCAACGTTCTTACAGGGCTAGAACCTGGCGACCACGCCCACCACCATGACGACCACGCCCACCACCACGACGACCACGCCCACCACCACGACGACCACGCCCACCACCATGACGACCACGCCCACCACCACGACGACCACGCCCACCACCATGACGACCACGCCCACCACGACGACGACCACGCCCACCATGACGACCGGGCCAACCCTCCAGACTACCCACTAGCCACAGGAAGAGAGGCTATAGAAGCATCTGCCCGCATCAATGAATTATTCCTGGCTATACAAGATGACCAAATACAGGTTTTTTGTCATTATAATGCATACATTCAATCTAATACTTTTGTACTCATAATAATTTGCTCCCAATTTGGTATTATCACATTTAATGTGTAATTTTATAAATTGTATCGGAATTGTTTACTCTTTCAATACTTACAATATAATATTTATATGTATAAATAAGCTATCCTCCACTCAGAGACAAAAGTTTAAAAACAGAAGTCAAAAATTAAAAAGTTAAAAATCTACCTAAATCTACAGCCTAAAAATAAGAAGTCAAAATTTTCATGTAAGACCAGCAGGTTGTGGTTAAACTCTTGCATATCTAATAGAAGAATTAACAACATATACATGCCTCTGGAATATATTTAACATTAATATCTAAATTACAACTAGACTGAGATAATGATGATGGTGGCGTGCCCTTAACAGCTGCCCTGGGACATGCCAGCCATGAAGGATGTGCCAACCTTCTTTAGTTTCTCCTGCGTCAACAGGATCCAAGGGTACTACGCTGACGTAGACTTCGGTTGTCAGGTAAGAGGTGGGCAAAAGACAGTATCAAATGCAGAGTACTCATTGGTCCCAAGTTTCCAGAGGATAGCATGGTGGTCAATCAATATGTCTCCTTACCTCTTTTAAACTCATTTGCTGAACCACATGGGTAAGGACCTCTTCTTTAGTCCTCATACACATATCAACATTGCCCTCTCATCTTTTAGCCCTTTCAAACTTTCTTCTCCTATCTCTGTACTACAGTTACACTTTTTCACACTATACTTCCCCTGTACTACGAGGCTTCCGACTCGTCCATCTCTGATGAAATCTACCTACTTTGATTCCTCTCTCTCGGCGTATCATCATCCCTCCTGAGACGCGTAATCCTATACCAGGTGTACCACGTGTGCAGAGACCACCTCCCGGTGGCGAGCTTCCTCTGCCCCAACGGAACAGTGTTCAACCAGGGCGTCTTCACCTGCGACTGGTGGTTCAACGTGGACTGCCCACTTTCCCCGACGCTCTATCACCTCAACCAGCACCTATACAAGGTCAGTCACGGTAAGCCTTGTGCATTCTGCTCTTTTCTAGTCAACGTCGTGTTTTCTTTATATAAATCGACATCTGCATACTTCTGGGTACATTTAATTTCTTGCTACATTCATATAGTAATTTGGTGGAGTGCAGATATATTTCCTTTTTCTCATTTAGTTTATTTAGTTCACAGTATTCTTTCCCAGTGAACATGAGACAGATTTTCAACGTTATTTAACCAGCCCATCATTAAAACATTGACCAAATACACGTTAATTCAGACCCTCTAAACATACTGTTTATGAATGATAAACATTTTACATACGTTTTGCAACTGATTAAATTCGAACTGTTCTCGAAAAGGGTTTCAGTCTTTTTCTATGTTCGAATTGTATCTCCAATAATGGTTCAAATAGTGTAGTGTTATATTCATTACAGGAAGAGGACGAAGTGCATCTGGCCAGGCAAGAGACAGTGGGCCAGGTCAAGTCTAGCCTTCACGAGACAGCAGGCCAGGTCAAGTCTAGCCTTCATGAGACAGCAGGTCAGGTCAAGCCCAGCCTTCATGAGACAACAGGCCAGGTCAAGTCTAGCCTTCGTGAGACTGCTGGCCAGGTCAAGTCGAGCGTTCATGAGACAGCAGGTCAGGTCAAGCCCAGCCTTCATGAGACAACAGGCCAGGTCAAGTCTAGCCTTCATGAGACAGCAGGCCAGGTCAAGTCTAGCCTTCATGAGACTGCTGGCCAGGTCAAGTCCAGTGTTCATGAGACAGCAGGTCAGGTCAAGTCCAACCTTCACGAAACAGTGGGCCAAGTCAAGTCTAACCTTCAGGGGACGATAGATCAAGAAGAGACCTTCCAACGAGATGCAGTGAGTGAAATAAAGACTTTTCTACAAGAGGGAGTGGATCAAGACAAGACATTCTTACAGGAGACAAAAGGTCAAGATGAAGTTTCCCTGCAGGAGACTACAAAGTTTCTCAGGGAGACAGTGGATCAAGAAGATAAATTCTTTCAACAGGAAACAGTGGGTCAAGGAACCATCTCCAACCAGAAAGAAACAGTAGAACAAGCAAAGCCCAACTTTCCGACTAATGAACCTCTCCCTAATTTCCTACGTGTTCTCCAGGTCAGTCAAGAATTTTTATAGTTACATAAAAATAGATAAATAATAACAGGTTATTTGTTTATGGTACAGTATTGAAGTGCAGTGTATGCTATAGAGCCCTGGTACTACACTAATGGATTTAATGTAAACCCATCCTATGCAGGATAAAGTTAGTTAAAATGGATCGTTTTATGTTGTTAAAATCCGTTTTATGCGTTTGTATACAGATGCTAATTATTGGTAAAAGTGACATAATATATTTATAAGCTTGATAGCATCAGTTTAAGGGAGTGAATATTTGACAGTTTATAAATTACAACTTATGAGAGCACATTATGGCAAGTTGTATGATGCAGTGGGATACTGTAGTGTGGTTTTGCTGGCTGTATGAAGCAGTGGGGGGTACTGTTGTGGATATTATGCTAGTGTGTGATGGTGCTGGTTCTGTGTGATGTTACGGTATGTAGAGAGGCATTTTAAATGTTGGTAATTTGCACCCCATACAATGTTTACATACTCTGCTGACAATATTTTGTTTCCTTGATAAATAGAGCAAAACTATTTGTATACCGTGTAGCTCATTTTACCAATTGTTGCTTGAATAATGGTGGAAACATAATTACCCTCTGAGTTTCTATATACAGTACTGTATTTTATGCTAATTTCCATTTAGATTATAATGGTTGTATTTCCTGCATTCCAGGTTCTGTCGGTTCCAGATGAGACCGCTGAGAGCAGTGACAATGTAGAAGCTCTTGCATTCCCACTTGTCCATGAGTTTGTTATTCCAGTCCCTCCCTCTACCAAGTCCAACCACAACTTGAATCAAATAGCTTCAGATTACCACCTGCCTTCAGAGCAGCACCTGCCACCTGCAAATGGGTACCTGCCTCCCTTAAATGGATACTTGCCACCAGCAAATGAATATCTACCACCAGCTGATGAAAATTTCTCTAAAATATTTTAAGTATTACAGTGTATAATATTCAACTTAACAACAGATGTAATACAAAAGTACTGACTTGTTCACGCAAAGAACATAGTTTGAACCAGAAATAACATATAAAACAAACCATGTGTTATAAATAAGAAAATTAACAAAAAATTCAATGTAAATCTAAACCATTAAGAATACTGTATTGTATTCTGTATTAGTAAAAAAATTAAATTTTTTGTGTATTTAGTATTCATTGTAAGGTTTTATCATATACATAAACATTATTAATTTACTTTGTTCAGTAATCTCTTAAATTTCTGAAAGAAAAGTGCTTTATACACTTGACTGTACCTGTATGTCAAAATATTCATCACTAAATACAGTAACTTAAGATATATAACAAAAGGGTTGTTTGGCGAACAAACAAACGAATGAACCCCGACAAACTACATGACCTCTCGCTGGACAGCCCGTCCTCCAAACAAAGACCTAAAGTCCATTCCATGCACCCACCAATCTCCCTGTTTATGACCCCCCCGCCAATTCTGCTCGTCCTGCATCGAGCTCTGCGACTCCAGCCGCACTCAACTCCAGGCTTCGTCTCAACGTCTACGATACTGCCAACAACCGACTGCTGTAACCAAGACTACTAAATAAATATGAAAACCCACTGAACACTGTATCTAATCTACCCAACAACGTAACTTAATAGTACATTACAATCCTCATGGCTTCGTTTTGCAGCTTTTCCAGCCCTCCAGTGAGGCTACTAGCATTAGTGGCCCTCAGGTAAGAAAGATGCATTCCTTAAGCTTTCATGCCATCAGAGCAAGAAATGGGCAACTCCATTTGCCCACTTACATAGCAGCCATATTAGGTTGACCCATTGTTATGTGAAAGTAAGGGTACCTACCCCTTATTTTCTAAATTATTTTGTTTCACCCCTTATCTAGTGTCCAGATTTCCTGGATGACCATAGATTTTGCCTTCCATCAATTGTTTTAAATCTGGTGTAATTAGGTAGACCCTTTAGTGAATCAAATTTATTTGATATAGCAAAGCTTCTTCCCTTGTATTGGCATCCTGAGTTATACAACAGTATTGTACCTCACTTTCACCTGTACCATGAATGGTGCTTTACTGTAGTTATGCAAGCTTAACACTTTCTTCCAGTAATTCATCTCTCTTAAGGGTAAATACTGGTTTACCATGGTGAGGTTTTGTGATCTTTATTTTGACTACAAAATAAAATTAATTGCACGAGTTTTTTAAATTTATTATTGTTGTTAAGGTTCTTACAGAACTACATAAAAATACATTTCACCAATCTTATTAAAGGACTCGTGTGTTGAGGAAATACACAATGAAAATAAACCTGCTTGAAACAGGCATTATTATTCATCATTTTTTAGTGTGATTGTATTGAAAATAAAAGATTAGCAAGAATTATTAAAACTCAAAAGAAAAACTCAAACATTAAAGGTCGTACCGTAATATAGGTACTGTACTTACAAATGTGTAAGTACATTATCTAATGACATAAAATAAAGAAAACTTTCATAGACAAATACAATACTGAAGTTCAAATGAACCCAGCCATCATTAAAATGTGTGTCCTGGCCAGAATCTTGATTATCCATATGTGCTGTGTTTATGAAACTCACTGAGGCTATATCTACCTTCACCCACAAAAACTTATCCCCATTTCAAAGACAGTTCACATAGACACTGGGGAAACATTTTGGTTTCTAAAATTTGATCATGTTTCTTTCATTGCTACCAATCATAATTACAATTATTATAATACTGTATAATACATACAGATTTATATAAGAAATACTGTACAGTATTATGAAAATAAAATCATACAGTAATACAAAACAAAAACCTCCATAAAAAAATATGGCAGGCATATGCAATGAAAGACGTGAGTTGAACTGGAATCACTGGGATGAAAGTGTAATGGGCCTTTTTTACATTTTTTTAATTATATAGTACTGTATTGTAATATTTTCTACCTCTTGAACACCGACTTCCACAACAAAACAGATTAGCTTAAGCAAATCTCTTCAGAACACATTTTACGGTAAACCTCTGATGATGCCATTATTAGTACATCACCCCCACACACACATCCCATGAAATCCCACTATAAGCATGCAGCTTTCATCCAGGTTTTCCATTTAACTACACTCACAGTTTTACTGTTGTCATTATCCTTTCTTACCTACAATATTTAGGTACTGATATATCAGTATCTATTCTATCAAGCACTTCAATATCACATTTACTAATTAAATTACTGAAATGTATCCACTTTTCCAACTTTGAAAATCCCAGTGAACTGCTTTTATCTCATTTAACCATGTAGTCACTGATATGTACTTCATTTGCATACAATGTAACTATACAGTGCCATTTCCGACAAATATTGCTACATTTGATTCCTTACGTTCTTTCATTTTCAAATGTATATTTTTTTCCAAATTCTTAAAAATATCTTATCTCTTATCTTATTTTTTCCAAAATCTTAAAAATATCTTCAATAATTCATGGATAATCAAAATAGTGGTACAATGATCCTCAAAATAATTAAACATTTGTATATGCTCCATGAAAGTGGAGAGTGGCCTATCAACTGGTGTACAGAATGCCAAAACCTTCATAATGCATAAGAGAAAATAGGGGTGTAGGAGCAAGCTTTTTCATGAGACTTATATAATTTTACAGTTTTTTGTACTTATCTCATTGTGACTAGCCCTAATCCACCACTCATAAATATCCATTTCCACTGCCACAGAAGATATGTTCATTAAGCTAATATTATTAATACAAAATATATCAAGTTTAAATAAAAATCATTTTATTATATTACCTGATAACAAAAATATAGCATAATTCATTACATGACAAAACGTAACAAAACATATACACAATGCTCATAAGATCTAGGTGTGTAACAATGGAGAAAGCAACACAATGTATTGTAAAGTAAGTTGCACAGCTCCACCTTCATCAGATGGCGTTCATCACTCATCTACCAGGTACAAACTAAAACAAAGAACTACAGCTAATTTATAGTGTTAGCCACTCGGTGAGGTGATGTCTACAAGACACAAAGAAGGCTTATCTGGCCTAAGCCCTTTGGATGACAGGTATATACAACTTGATTAAAAATCATTGAGAAAACCAACTAACTGACCATCATGCACTACTTTCAGCATTCATATACAAGCCCAGGTACGGTACTATCTAGACTACTTTATCGTCTCTCCTTCACCGTCTCATATCTCCGCAATATTTTGCTTTTTAAGTACAGAACGGTAATGTTTAAGAACTGCAATAATTCTTACATCACCCTTTAAGGTACACAGTTTAGCATGTTTTGTTACAAACTGAGGTTGAATCAAAATATGGCTTAAAAATATACAGTATAACTAAAGCTAAGAAATCTGTGCACACATGCAACTTGTAAAATGTTTGTTGTTCATATGTGCCATCTATGTTTATACCTGTGTAAATCAATAATTTTTTGGCTAAGTACATTCATTTATTTCTCAGAGATGATACAATTGTAATGGAAAATATCTGCCCTTTTTATTACAGTATAATTTAGTAAAACTTGTTTTCTGTATCTTAAAGTGCTGTAATACTTTGTTACGTCAAAGAGCCACTTTATGGAAAAAAAAGTGTAATTCTCAATGTAGAAGATTATACTCCACATTTTGTTTGTGCAGAACAAATATGAGTGTTCAGTTGATTTTCCAGAACACAATACTAAAGCAGTCGAGATATTTTCTCAGTATATTAACACTTTCACAAACAATTATGCCAACAAAGTGACACCTAATCACTGCTGTAAATTAATTTTAAAATAGAGCAAACTGAATACTGATATTTTTTTTACATGGACTATACAAATTTATAAAAAAAAATGTGATTCCATACTACAGATGTCTTCAATGTTGGTGGCAAGTTTAATAATCTTCCTCAATGTCCATGCAGGAGTTGCCAATTAATGCAGAATCACGAGGAGAGCCACAATACTGAGAGACAGAGCGGCAGGTGAAGAAAACAATCCGCTTCAGTCGGGGATTGTAGAAGAAATAGTTAAACGACCAAAGGCAGCCATCTTCTGAGTATGGGTCTGATGTCTGATCTGGAAAGACAGCACACAACGAATATTAAACCTATAATTCCTAAAGCACTGTAGCCTATCTTGATTTGTCACTATAACTGCTGCTCTAACTTTTATTAGTCAATTGTTTATAGTTAAATGAAGTTTTATTACAAAACTATTCTGTCATTTCAATTCACTTTTAATCTTGTAGATAATATGATTCATCTCTGCTTTTCCCTTCCATTTTGTAATGATAAAATTAAATGGATGACAAATAAGTAAATAAATTCATTATTGAATACGTAATGAAATGCCTGTTTCTGGTGGGGCTCTCAGTAGCTTCCCCAGTGCCAAAGCTTTAGCAGCATCCAAGCCTTATGAACCACACCGGGTCTCCAGCGAATCCCACTTTCGTATCAGACACCAGGATTTGGTGCCCTCAAAGAGACTAAGTCTGGCAATCTAGGATCACCACAGAACCAAGAGAATTAATCTCCAAAACAATGATTCTAGCATGAATCTTCTCTATATTTTTTATTTTCTACTTCACTTAGGAGAGAAGTTGAAAAACTAACTCAAGTTGATTTTACAGTTTTATTGAGCATGACGTGTGTTGCCAAAGGACATATTTCGTTGAAACACAACTGAACATTCACAGAAGCAGAGGGAAAATGAAAACTGCAGCAAAAAGTATCTTAATTTTGCATTGTGCACTTAAGGGCACATCTGTGCCATAACACATGGGAGATGTGAACCATAGTATGCTTGAGTACTGCACTGACCTATGATTAATACAGACAATCCATAGTAACTACACAAGGCTAGGAGATACTGCCAATGTGCTGGAACCAAGCAAGTGTTATGTATCTCAGGGAGCAAAAACCATGCCTAGATAAAAATAAGCAGCTCCTTGCAAAAAGCTAGTCTTTTTTTTGCAAACAAACCTAATTGGGATGGACATACACGAGTCTTCTCTCCCAAAAAACACATAACCCATTCTGCTGCTGCATAGAATGAAACTTCTTAACCCTATTTCCAATAGCAAGCATAAGAAGGAAAATTGTCTTTAAGTCAAGGTCATAGGAGGAGGGCAAGATCCAAAAGAACGGCAAGAGATCTAATGCACATTTAGAGACTATGCAGGCTCCAGCATAAGATGAAATTAATATTAACACTTTTGCATTCCATAGGCCAGGCCTATTTTTTGTTAAAAGTGAATTATACTCTTTGACTGCTTGTCTAGGGATACATAAAATGTTTATACTCATTTTCTGTTTGAGAACCTATTTATACGGATATGCATTATTTCTTATATAAAAATGTTTAGAAATTAATGTTCTATAGGAACAACAAAATTGAATAAACATGTTGGTTGTTTAAGACACTGTACCTCTTAGTTTACAACAATTTATAAACAATTCACATTGTGCAGCAATTAATAGTCTTAAATCTTGGACCCCCTTGATAGCTTCCCTCAGACATATGATTCTGGTTTAACCAGTGACAAAGCACTAGGATCTGAGCAACTCTTCACTCCAAAAAGACAAGTAATCTTGCAAACTATCTTTTCTTCCTACAAACAGGCCAGGAAGCTCATGGAAGAGAACAATCACACATTATATCTTGCTGAGGTAGCTGCTCAGACACACAAAAACTCTTCAAACCACTAAACATTCCCTGCAAATGACTCTGGACAACTCAAAATAACAGTTGTCCTGAAATTGCTGAACTCCCTCTTTATCAACTACCTAGGCCACCACCAAATGACAGCCCTACTGGAACACGGAATCTGAGCTCCCAACCTAACTCAAATTTAGCAGCTAAATGTGTCTTAGTGTATGAGGTTCCATTCTTTTTAGTACACTTCTCTGCATACTGTAGCTGCTGGGGTTACTCAGGCGGGTTGACTCTCCTTGAGTTGAGGAGAGTCATTGATAATGCTTTTGTAGTAGAGTTGTATCACTTAGTGAATGACTTCAAATCCCCACTCAGTCTTGTTCAAATGGATGAGTGCAGAAATTATTGCTAGGTGTATTATGTCCATGAAACATAAATGCAACTTCTTTTTTATTTTATTTTTGTTTAGTCAGTGGCTGTTCTCGTACTTTCTCATTCATTAATAACCCATTTTTGGCGAGTTCCAGTTCAGGTCCTGTTACCCTGCATGAAGTCATCTGCCTGTTGTTGGTCATTTTACACCATGGTAAATTCAAAGTGATGGCATGATAGGAGGAGCGTTTGAGTTCTTTGCAGTGGGCTTAATCTGGAGATGCCTGAGCTGTTTGGTTAGTTTTAATGCCTCATTTGGGTTTAGTTTACTGTCGCTTTTTGGGTGTTCCTGCATCGTACCCAAACATCTATTCCACTCGTCTCCACTCTCAGTTACAAAATGTTAGCTGGAGTAAGTCACTGCAGGGACCCAGTCATTGTGGGTTTCTTTTATTAACTGTAATGTAATACAATAAAAGTACTGTACTGAATTCAATATAATTAAATGTTCTCAAAGAGAATTAAAGTACTTACCCGGGTTATAGCTATAAATTTCACATTCCCGAAGACAAATAGCACTGTCCAAAGCAGCCCAAAGTGCAGATTCCACAGAAATGAATTCTGAGCGGGCAACTGCCATCATCTGTCGTTCAACTTCATGCATCACCCACTGGTAAAAAAAAGGAAAATGAATAGCTCTTAACATTAAATTAAATATTAAAAGAAAAAAAAAGCACAAAAGCACATGCTCTTAGAAATAGAACATTAAATACACACGTCAAATTTCCAAGTTTCCTGAACAAAATTAACTTAACTATTAAAGTTATTTATACAGTACCTCTCTACAAAACTCAAGGCAGCACGTTATTTACTTATGATGGCTGTGGATGTATAATTGGGGGTATGGATGTGTAATGGTATTGTGAAGCAGATGAGTTGTAGTATGGTTGTGAGATAAGTGTTATGGCTAGTGGGGCAGTGTGATTACCCATCCATCTATAGGGGAGTGGACTAGCTGTCTTTTTGACCCTAGCCTCCTAGCTAGGGAAGCCGGTCGGCCGAGCGGACAGCACGCTGGACTTGTGATCCTGTGGTCCTGGGTTCGATCCCAGGCGCCGGCGAGAAACAATGGGCAGAGTTTCTTTCACCCTATGCCCCTGTTACCTAGCAGTAAAATAGGTACCTGGGAGTTAGTCAGCTGTCACGGGCTGCTTCCTGGGGGTGGACACTAAAAAGCCCCGAAATCATCTCAAGATAACTATTTTAATTAATTTTTTAATAAAAAATTTGTACATGGAGTGTACAAATTATTATTATTATCTCTTATTGTTCGATTTCTTCATCATATAATATAGATACTGTAGTCACGTTCTATGTCAGATTTTTTCTTGAATTAGTGATGGTAGTTGTGGGTGTATAGAGATTGTTGTTGATGGCTATATGAAGATGATGAAAAAATCAGCATTGAATCTAGTGAAACTTTAATTTCAGGTTAGACCAAGTGGTTCCCTGAGCTACAATGTTGATACAGTGCCAAACTACTAGGTGCCATCAGTTGCAAAGTTCTTTTTGACCTACCGAGGACCACAACCCAGAACTTTGCCACCTCTAGGAAGAGAGAGAGCATTGGCACTATGATAAAATTATAAGTGAATTTTAATGTCTGCCACCAACGAGGAAGCATGCACAAAGTCAGCAAAACAAAACAGACCAATGCTAGTTATAAGAAAGAATGACCTCAAAATCACTAAAAGAAATAGTGATTCTCCATCTCCACCCCGGCCGCCAGGCGGCCGGGGTGGAGAAGGCTCAGGCAGGGGGAAGTAGAGGGAAACTTACACACACAGGAAACGTAGTCAACCCCCAACAATGCAAACGACAGAAAATTCATGAAACTAGCACAAGCTCAGTCACCCCACCTCCCTCCCTCATTTAAAAGGAAGGAGGGAGGCATAGCAGGTCAGCTGGCTGGTGACTTTGTGGGTGCTTCCCTGGTGGTGGCAGACATGATTAAAATTTGCTGTTAATTTTATTGTAGTGCCAGTGCTCTCTGTGCCTCTCTAGATGAGCCCAGGTTCTGGCTCCTAATCCCCGGTAGGCCGAAAAGAACTCTTAATTGATGGCATCTAGTAGTTCGGTACTGTATCAGCATTGTAGCGTCAGGGAGCCAAGTCACCATTATCATCATATTTTCTTGGCTCCCCCAAGAAAATATGATGATAATGGTGACTTGGTGGTAATGATGATTATGGAAATGGTGTTGGTGGTGATGGTAGTAGTGATAATGGTAGAGGAAATGATGGTATTGACGTTGATAGTAAGAAATAATTGTATTTGAAGTTTTGTATTTGTTAATGGTGATTGAGTTGGTTAATGGTAGTATAATGACCCCCTTCACCTCCACCACAGCATAAATGAGCTGGAGCTAGTAGGTGGTGTGAGGTGTCCACCTCACTTTCGAAATGTTTGCCTCTTTGTTCTCATTGTTGTTTGAGAAAGTACAGTTAATCTGGTGAGTGATAAGTGTCGTTCCTGTTGTATTATGTCCCATTTCCTGTGTCTTTTATTGACTGTAGTGTTGCTGTTAACACTTTGTTCAGGTCCAGTGAATTCAAAATAATTGTGTAGTCACTTAATGCTCCCACTCGTGTTTGAAGTGCCTCTTTATACATTACAAGTATTCTGTATTTCCATATTTAGTTAACATTCATGTACTGTAAGCAAGGAGGTGAAGGGATGCTTTTTTATTATTACTGTTATATTATGCATATAATATAATATGCATAATATCCTTTATACTTTATAGATGCATACTAAGCATTTTAGGGTTTCTTCTCATCACCAGTATGAAGTGGCCTTGGGGAATTTTCAATTCTATATTGCTAATCATCAGCTTTCCACTTGTTTCACTCCATTTCTTATGTTCTTTTAACTTGATTCTTCTTGGACAGGTGGCTCACACCCAATACAATAGCTTCATTATCTGACTTCTTTAGATGAGCTGCTTCTATTTGCTCTTAAGTCTCAACCTGTCTAGCTCTCCATTCCCAAATTAGAAGGGCATTTTGTCAGATTAGTTACTCAAATTATCCTTTGGTGCCTACTTGGTCTTTCAATACGGTGCTAGATTTTCTTTCCTTTCTTCTGTTTCGAGTCTGTCCTCCTTCAGACACTCGTTCCCTGAAGACTCTCTTATCTTGTATTCTTGGCTTTTGGGATGAGAATTCAGGCACCTTGCCAGCTTCATTGTCCTTTACGTATTTTGTTTTATCATGGAGTTTCCTTTGTCTACAACCCAACCCTTCATTCAAAATTAAGAGTGAGACAGGTTTTTGTTTTATTTGTATTCAGGGCTGGTTAACCTCTCCTATAATGCACAATACCTGTGTCCTGTTGCATCTCTGGGCTGGTATCTCTTGGAATCTCTGCACTCCACCACAGATTCCCTATTTATGAATCCTAGACCCATGGTTCCATGCATTAACGTCTGTGTCTACATTTTGTGTAGACTGAGCATTATTTAGTGTCTCCATAGCACAAATATGACCAGATGAGAATGGTTTGTAAATTCCCAAACAATAATTTTACTTGATTTGACAGTGGCAGATTTTAACTAGAGGACAGTAGGATCTTGCAAAATGAAATAACCCATGTATTGTTTAGAAATGTGCTAGATTTTTGTTGTACTGCATTTTAGAAAACATTAAAAACATTCAAATAAAAGATTCTGAACAACCAGAAGGGGAGGAAGTAGCCCAATAAGATTAGGATTACTGTATTAAGAGAATACTGTGATAAGCCATACAGTATTTTATAAAAACACTCCTGCCCTAATTACAGTACTGTAACTATTTTCTAGTACTCACCAATGTTGAAGAGATCTGCATATGGAAGCCATATTGCATTTTGTGTAGAGTAATATTTGTTTAAAGTGGCTGACAACTGGGGAGGGTCTGACTCCATCCCCCAACATATCACTGGCAGGTGGTTTATAGCAGTCCCATCACATGGGCAGAGTTCTAGTGAAGCAGAGATGACCATATGCTGGCATGACCACATGTGTGTGACCATATGCTGGCATGACCACAGGTGTGTGACCATATGCTGGCATGACCACAGGTGTGTGACCATATGCTAGCATGACCACAGGTGTGTGTGACCATATGCTGGCATGACCACAGGTGTGGTGGACTGTAATTGTGTGCTGTTTTGCCTAGCTTATCTCTTTGCAGAAAGCCAATAGAGATTTCATAGTCTTCTTGGGCTCCAAACTTGGCTCCAAATTTGGAAACATTCCAAATGTTGCGTGTGGGTCAGTGTCAGATCTTGAGAACACAACACAGGATTTGTACTGTCTTTATCTTGCTCATTCACATAATGGACAGAATGAAGACAGGCACTAATCTTCCTATATGAAGGCTACATTTTAAAATTTTTCTTCTAAACCCAAATTACAGTTTTTTTTCCATGGGGGTTATCTTCATATACAAAGAAACTATTTGCAAAATGTTTTGGAAAGGACATATATCACAGTATAGCAGGTATACACGATAGAATGAAATAACTAGTCAGCAGAGAAAGCAGGAAGATGACTTACTGACAGCCATTTTGAGTACTAATGTAGTCAGATTTATGTTGTATGAACTGTGCTGGGAGTGATTTTGACCTGGGATAGCTCTAGAATTTGTTGACCGAGAGTGCCATGAATGTGAATTTTTTTTGTAGAAATTCATTGAATCATTAGTTTATATCAGTTCTTTAAATTGTACTCTCATTATCAGATATTTCATGTTATGTTGTTATTATGACTGTCTCTTAGTTGAATAATTCACTGTAAATCTGTGTAAACTAACCCAACTTTTAAATGTACAAAATATACATTTATGAATAAAGTTACAGACTGATAGGCTGACCAAAGTACCCCATAAGATTTAAAACTCCTACAGATACACAGGGCCCACATCTGCTTTCTCAAGCCTCCAATAAACAGATGCCATCTTGGAAAAAATTGTCAGCACCTTCTCCTGAGTGTGAGGGCCTCGCTACCATGAGTAAGTAGTACATGCAGCAGCCGCTTATATCACCACCATGCAGCTCATGCATACAGCATCGCTTAATGAATAAATAACTATTTATTGATGACAGCGACATCGCTGATAAAGACTATGTACAAGGTTCCCATATCAGTTTACCCAATGATGGTAATGATATTCACAGTACAGTACAAGGCAGACAGTGGCAGCACACAGCTGCAGTTTGGTGCATCCACATATGAAACAGGACCTCATGTTCCTTTCAAAATGAACATGTGAAAAATGATTTACATTCAGGATTCAGTGACCATGATTCTGATAATAAATATAGTTAAATATAATGTGTGTGTACAAGAGAATAACAGCAAATCCAGTGTGTTTTATTGTTCTAAGAATATACTGTATTATGATGCATATATTAGTGATATGTGCACCATAATATATTCTTAGAACAATAATCTCAACATATTTGAAATTACAGATGCTCCACACATTTTATTACAGTATAACACTGATTCCACAAACTCCATGGGATCAACACTAGTTCGTTGCAGTGAGGGATTCGTTGTAACCCCAGGCTGCATTTACCATGCCCTATGGCATAATTTCACTTAGCAAAATTCTCACTTCGTCTATAATATAATAGACAAGTACCAAATAAACATACTGTGTCTGCAAAAAAAAATATTAACAGCAACTAGTTTATTTCTCACGTGCCCAGCATCAAAACTCATTTTCAAAAGGTAGCAGGGCTATACCTGAGCGAATGAAAGCCTTGCCATCTCAAATAGCATGGTGCACCACAATGTATGATAGGTCTACCAATCATACCTTCACTCCTACCATGCCTATTAAAAGATACGATAGGAGTGAAATGGACAATATTCATATGAAACTCCACATCAATATACATATGCTAATTATCAAATAAACTACTATACAGGCACAATACAAATCACAGGCACAATACAAATCAGTAATCTAACACTGATAGATCCCTTGCTTTATTTTTTACAATACTGTACATTCAGTAAAATACAGTACTGTACTTACCTCCAAGGAAGGTTCCCGAGAAAATTCTTGAGAAGACGCATTGCTGAAATCATAATCTGGGTAGAATGCTGCATTGAGGGTAGATATCAGGTAAAAGAGTGTCTTGCGGTTGATCTTGTCTTCCAGTGGACTATCTTCACCTCCACTGCTTTGCGAACTCCTGGGAACAAATCTTAGACTTGACAGTGGAGGCCAGAATGGGCACCCCTTCATACTGTGAACTAAGGCTATAATGAACACAAGGATTTCTCAAAACTTTAAATTTATATACCCATTACTAACGTTTAGGGAATTTGCATTATTTGCAAAACGTAAAGATAGAAGCTCTGAAAGTGTGCGAGTAATTTCACTTCAACATCTTACCTGTTGTACACAAGTTTCTTAAATAAAAACTATTTAATTAAATTACTCATATTTTGTAAATAAACACATCAATACAAACCAGAGGAAGGTTATCACAAGAAGTCAGCATTGTTTCCAGAGCCATAGGCGGTGAACAAGACGCTTACGGTAATGCTCGGCTCATATTAAGCTAACGATATCCAACAATCGTCCCTTAAGCAGCAACTAACGAAACCTAGCAGAATGCGTGGTGCAGTTTGCCGTGAGTGCCTCCTCTCCTGGCCTTACCACCATGGTTGAACCTGCCAGAGGGTCGCAGGCCACACTGTCCCAACCAATATGCTAAAGTCTTGTGCAACACTCTTTCAGAAAATGAACGTATCAGTGATATTTTTATAATGAATAAAGCCAATTTACTGTACAGTACAGTATATCAGTTAAATTTGGTTTATGTAAAAGCACGAGGGTCAAGATACACACACACACAATTTAACGTGAAGATGACTAAAAATAATTTTAAATTATTGTTTTGTTAATTACTGTTCATAAATTTATTCAATAATGTTTCTAGCAAAAAATTAATCTTAATCAGTCCTGGGGTACTGACATGAATACTAAAATAGGACCACGAGCATCAGTTATAACTCGACAAACATTTAAACATATATTAAAGAATATGGAATAATGTTTAGTAGTAATTTTTCTTCTTAGTTTATAAGGTGAAAACAAGATTTGTACTGGATAAATTTTACAAACTCAAAGAGATGTAAATCTGAAATGTAAAATCTAAAAGCATGGTTTATGCCTCAATCCCTCTCATCATATTTTGTCACCTCTTTCCAGTACGGAAAAGTAGATGAAAAGTGAAGCTACTGGTATACTGTAGTTGTGACATATGACATACTTCACAATGATGGCATGGTTATCTTCTTGAGGTTATCTAGAGATGATTTCGGGGCTTAGCGTCCCGCAGCCTGGTCTTCAACCAGGCCTTCTTTTTGTTACACACCCGCAGGAAGCAGCCTGTAGCAGCTGTCTAACTCCCAGGTATCTATTTACTGCTAGGGGCATGTAACAGGGGCATCAGGGTGAAAGAAAAACTTTACCCATTTGTCTATGCCTCCACTGGGGATCGAACCCAGAACTTCAGGATTACGAATCCGAAGCGCTGTCCACCCAGCTGTCAGGTGCCCCATAAATTTATGATACACCATAAATTTGTTCAAAAAGTTCAAAACTCAACCAGGGTTATTATTAGTTTAGTATTGAGCTTAAGGCTTATACACCTATGGGGAGTTACAAAGGCTACCACAATACTGCAGTTGACTATGCAAACCAGCAAGTACACTCCAACCCTGAAGATGTTCAGATCTTCTCTGGTGCATATATTCCTGTGTGAGTTGCTGTGGAGGCTTTAACTATTTTTCCAAGGCTCCAGGCTTCCATTTAAAAAGAAAATCTGGTTGTTTGTATGACTAGTAAAACATTAATGACATGGGTACCCCAAGCTCTCATCATGAAATAAATGTTGTGTACACAACAGCAATGACTGCACTCTCCCACCTACTTTGTACCACTGCACTGATGATGAAATTACAAAACACACTGCAAAGGACAATGCTTGCAAACTAAGCAGCAACATCACCACCAGAGTGCTTACATCTGCTCGCCTCTTATTCTAGCTACCACATAAAATAATGAAAGTAGTACAGTTGTCTATCATCAGGACTGATTAAAGAGAGCCTTTTAAGCACTGTATACAGAATTTTTGAACAAGCAATGCAAACTAATCATATCAATAGTTCAAAATTAGCTAAGCTACATGAAACCAAAATACTTGTTTAGTTTTTAAGTGCATTTTGATCACAAACTATTCAAACTAAAATACGTAAGTGGAAATAAAAACAGGGTGTCAAGCAACAAGAAATGCTCCTTTCTGAGAAGCCTGGTACCATTCAGAGCAAGGGCCAAGTCCCACTCGGGACACTAGAATCTTGCCAGGATCTCGTAAACCTGTTGCTGGCGACTCAAGAATATTTCAAATGTTTTTCCACCTAATTAAGGAGGAGAAATGGGAGTAAGTCCATCCCCCACCTAGGAGACTGCTTGCTATGCTATCAAAGATTTTAATTATAATGATCAACACTCTCCCTACAAAAAAAAAAATGGAAACCTAAGGATTGCGAGTGATTCCTCTGCAAACTGTCAGTTAGCAAGCTACTCACTACTTTGACAAACACTAGATGGCAGCACCACAAAGTACAAGATTTGGAGGAACAGACCACCTTTATTTCAAATCCAACAGCCCAAACATGCAAGGAAATTTGAGAAATCAATGGACAATAAAGGGTGCATTCGAGGAGCCACTCAAAAAGGAGTGTTTCATATTACAGAATAGTACTCGACACCCTATTTCTGAAAAAACCTCCCTCGGTCACTCACCGAGCCAACTCATCCAGAGGCCATTTCACAAGGCAAAGCTCTCAAAATAAATTTGATAAGAGAGACTTACAAGAGCCACTAGCCATACACCCAAAGCTGCCAAAGAAGGGAAGTCCATCTGTGGCACAGGACCATCTTAGGGAGTAAACCAATAAGCTTATCTGTAGAAAAACAGGTAACACAAAAATAAAGTCAGGCAAGAGGAATGCCAGATGAAAAGTAATTATGGTCTGCTCCTCCGACCTTGGCTGCTGCTATCTAGTTATGATACTGTAGCAGGAACGAGTATTTAGCCAACTGGCAGTTAAGCAAATAACTGACAATCCTTACATTTTAATTTTTTTTTCAGTTGAAGGTTCTGAATACAATATTATGATTACTATCTTTTGGTGTAACATGAAGTAGTTTCCTTGATGGTTGACAGATGTTGTCCCCTCTGTCTCTCATCCTTAATTAAGTGACAAGACCATTTTTAAAGTTCCTTGTCACTATGAATTACAGTGTGAGGATGAGCCTGGTCAGTGTGTAGAGTACTGGGTGGATCCTGGCCTGGCATAAGGAAAGATGACAGGGCCTTGTTCAGAAACGTTTGATACAAAATTTAAGAATCCAAAAACCATCATATTTCAAGAAACACAAGAGCTGTTCCTCTTTTAATATTCTTATGGCAACTCTCTAAAACATTATTGAATTTTTATGCCTGCTCTCTAAAACATTACTGAATGGCATTTTATTAGCTATATAGACACAAACTATTACTACAGTGATCAAAATTTAAAAATATAAACCCTAGGCCTGACATGTCTTAGTAGACAATGGGTATCATGCCAGAGCATCACTCAGTTATAAGGACACGCTTTAAATGTGCTTTGAAAATCTACAAATTTATACTAAGCCAAACCAAGATGATGATGACTTTTATAACATGATTAAGCAGTGTAAAACCAAACAGTTAAACTTAGCTCTACACATATAAAACACTCATTTGTGCTTTAAACAAAATATGCATTAGGTATCAGCTGACTCTTCAGACCCTTTAGTATATGTTTCAGTCTATGCATTATTTAGTACTTATGGTAACTCATTTTGTACAGAAAGCTTTCATAATCAAAAGAATTTAGCATATGGTTGGGTTGGTCAGCAGAGAAGTCCCGTTTTGACCCTGACCAAACGCCCTCCGGTGGCTTCGCCCAAGAGATTCATTGGCACTCTCGTTGCCACTGGTCCACCCACTATGAGGTAGCACCACCGACTTCGGACCAGACCTTGCTACCAGCCGAACTTAGACAAATTCTTACCAAGGAGTTGAGAGGGTGTAAAATTCAAATATATATATGCTTCTTAATTTGCTGGCAAGATATGCAAGCCAAATTTAAGCTACTGACTAATAGACAACACCTTTGAGACAGAGACAGAGAAACACAGTGAAAGAGAGAGAGACAGAGAGAGACACAGTGAGAGACAGATAGAAACACAGTGAGAGAGATAGGCAGAAAGAAACAGAAACAAGCAAAGACAGATTGAAAGACATAAACCAATTTTCCTACCTAGAAGGTAAAATTCAAAATAAATCAACAAAATTATGTATCAAAACTCTCCTGCAATAAAATGCACTTTACAGTCAAATCCAGAATTCAAACAAAATACACACTGAAGTGTGAATGCAAACATCAGACCTAGACCATTTAAATTATTTATTACAACCTTGAGCTAAAGCCAGACCAATAAAGCAAATGAAAATAAAAGTAAATTAGAAGGAATTAGTGCACATGACTATGATAGAATACTTGTGCTTCTTAAATTAACCTGTCATTATTTTACAGTAATAGGAAACTACAAACAATACCAAAAGATACATAATGTCTATGAATTGCTAGCAAATAAGTCAAAATATTACAAAATAGCAGTTAATGAGCTCAAAAAAAATGTAACAATATAATTTACACATATACAGTAGTGCTAAAATTAGTAAATCAACTACTGTCTAGGGTGGTCCATATTTTAAACCATTAATTAATTTTATTTTAGAAATAATTCTAATTTACCAATTACAATTACAGTATTCCATTTGATGAAAAAAATACATTTGGTGTGTAAAGTATTTTATAAATTGGACAAGATTAGCAGTCGCTTGATGACACTGAAGTTTGACTTCTCACCCTGGCCAGTATACTGTAATGAATACTTGAACACAAAACTAAATCAAATAAAACAAGACATAATAACAAAATATACTGTATATATAAAACAAGTGATAAGAAATATAAAACAGTGTAACAGGGTAGTGAAGAACTAAAATAAGACAACACAAGACTGAACCAAACAATCAGGTCCTAGCAAGAAAAAGTACCGTAGTGCAGCAAGAACCTTGGATTT